AGCTGTCCTGAATGCGGACAGACGTTTCCCTGCAGATCCCGTTTGATCAGGACTCTGGCTGAGATGGAGAGATATACGGACAGGAGTCTGAGCAGGAAGAGGAAAGAAGAGCAACCAGCTGAGGCCCAGCTGAAGAGAGGCCGGGGCGAAGCAGGCGCGTCAGAGAGCACTCTGTGCTGGCGGCACAACAAACCTCTGGATGTTTACTGCTACACAGACTGGGAGATCATATGTGCCGAGTGCGCTGCGGCCAGGCACAGCGGACACACGTTTGGGCTGGTGATTGAAGAGAGGGCAAAGAAACAGGTACAGAAAAAACAAGGAGTCACTCAGCTGCTCGATTTAAACTATGGAAACTCTCTGGTGCAACTGTTTTAGAGTCACAGGCATCAGATATGGCAGGAATATAGTTCTGCTGTAAACTAAGTTAAAGAAGTAAATTATAAATTTGATTACACAACTTGTTACTAACAGAATGAATTCCTGAGGTCACATAATGTAATGTGCAGAATAAGTCGTTACCTTTATTCAATTACATTTACTTGAGTAACTTTTTGTCTTTTTAATTACATTCAGAAGTGGTTTACTTCACTGTTCCTTTTACTTTTACTTGAGTAATTTAACGAAGTATGGCTACTAGTATTGGAGTAAAATGTGTGTATAGTGTAACCTGAACAAACAAGTTATAACCCAAAATCCCCCCCCCACACACACACACAGACTTTTAGTACTTTGATATTCTATGGTTATTTTTATTTGCTGATCCTCTTGTGCCTTTGGGGATGAAGTGAATATACAGTAATCACCATATACTGTCAATGCAATATTACAGCATATTACCGTGTTCTAACAATGTGTTTACACCTCACTGTATTAATGTCATGAATTGTGTATTTAAAAAAAGATTTTAGAGATGCTTCTTATGCTTGAAATGTGTTATTTTGGACCTGTTGTTTTTTGCAAAATAATTTTTAATTTGAACTTTTACTGCTTTAGAAATTGCACATTACATACCATTTTTATCAGTTTGATGACAATTTTAAAATTTTAAATCTGATGTTCTTTAATATCCTTTTCAAGAAATACTTTTTACTCGAACTTCAGTATTTACGTTGATAGCATTTAACTCTTATTTGAGTAAAAGTACGTCAAAGAACAAATGTGTACATAAAATTTGCCTGTTAAGCTCTCTGCTCCATTTAAAGGGAAAGTCCTGCAGTGTCTTTGCAGAGAAACTATTTTACAATAACTTCTGTGTAATTTAAGAAAAAGCTGGAGATCTTGCAAACCAAACTGAGGAAGACGCTTCAGGAGCAGCAGGAACAGCAGAAGAACATGAAGAAGAAGTTTAAGCAACTTGAGGTGAGGAAATCTGGTACTGTTTACAAGTTCTGAGGTTGGAGGGATTTTGATCTTGCTCTGCTGTGTTTAAAACAGAAGGAAGCCAATAAAACGAAGGACGACTGTGAAGCAGTCATAGTTGAAGTCATTGATTGCCTTCAGAGACATTGCCTGTCTGTGAGGAAGCTGGTTGAGGATCAGGCAGAGGCAGCAGCAGCTCAGATCCACGTTGCACTCCAGGACCTTGAGATGAAAATAGAGGAGAAGAAGAAGTTGTACGATGAGCTCAATCTCCTCGCGCGGAGTGACAACAGCGTCCTTTTTCTGCAGGTATGACACTGACATTAGCTCACCTGTATCATGGTTCTGCATCCCCTCTGCAATAAATGTGTCTCTTCTTCTTTTTCCAGGAATGGCCCAATATGCAGAGTGACTGTGAAAAAGTCCTGCTTTCCTGCAATGAGAGCTCAGAGGACCAACGTCCACAATTTGAAGTTACAAAGAGAGCAATAGAGCAGATTGGGAAGGAGCTGGAGGACTTCTGTGACCAACAATTTGCTTCAATCTCCCAAATTTGTACGTGTAACAGCCAACGTGGAAGTATTTTATAAAACCAGTTAATTAAAATCAACTCTTTGCACATTTTCGTACTTACATTTGTGTCTCAACTGCTTCTAAAAAAACATCTCAAGTGCTTAATAAAACCTCCAGCCGTTTTTTAGTGAATGTTTGGTGTCTGGAAAATGAGTCGTTTCAAATACCTCCTGATTATTCAGACACATTCAACGGCCACTGCGCCCTTACTTATCAACCACATCATATAGACCACTTTACGCTGACCGATCACATAAAGATCTACTTCATATATATTGATGTTGTTCAACGTCTCCTCATAGCTTGGACTGGAGAAGGTCGTAAGGAGAACCTGGAACCTACAACCAGAGAAGAATTTCTGCAGTGTGAGTTTATGTTCTGAATGTTCCCGCCTCTCTTTCCGTCTCTGAAACTCTTCATTTTACTCCTTGTTTCCTCTGTTTACACCAGATGCCTGTGACCTCTCTCTGGACCCCGAAACGGCTCATAAGAACCTCATCGTCTCTGCTGAAGGCAAACAGGTGACCAAATTGCCTGGCAACAGATGCCAAACCCCAGCTTCACTTCATCAAGAGAGGTTCACCCATCGATGCCAGCTGCTCTGCAGGGAGGGCCTGCAGGCCGAGCGGTGCTACTATGAGGTGGAGCTGGAAGGAGACAAGGCAGAGATCGCCCTAGCATACAAAGGGATAGACAGGAAAAGCAGCACTTGCAAGTCGGCATTTGGGGCCAATGAAACCTCCTGGAGTCTCGATGTCTCTCGGTCTTACTCTGTGAGCCACAGATCAGAAAGCGTCGAGCTCACGCAAGAGCGCAGGGGAAAAAAGATTGGAGTTTACCTTAAATTCAAGGAGGGAACTCTGACTTTTTACGAGGTGTCAGACAGCATGAAGTTTCTGTACAAGGTGGAGACCCAATTCACAGAGCCGCTGTATCCAGGGTTCTGGCTCGACAACAAATGCTCCATCAGGATCTGTGATTTGAAGCGACACAAGCAGTAGATGTTCACAGAGAATCAGACACTGCAGATCAAAATGGGATTTCAGTGATGCGCCGTGAGTTCATGATGGTTTGACATTTCTTCTTTGTGGATTTTCATTTGCTGTAAAAAGTAATGCACTGAAACCAACAATGTCACTTAATATTATTTAGCCTATTTTCTGTTTTATTAAAGCTTCTGGATTTGAATGAGATTCAGACTTGTGAAGTGCACAATTCAGAGACTGAGGTCCAGACAAAAGTCAGGGAGCAAAAATAATCTTTAATACATCTGCAGACGGAGAGCAAGAAATACACTGCATTAGGCACAAATTAGGATCCGCTCTGAGGAACCCAGAGTTGCATAGTTACTTTATTCCTCTCGTTACTACCGAGGCGGAGACTCAATCTTCGAAGACCAAACAAAAGAAACAAAGGAAAACATACGAAACCTTGTATGCTTATTCACTGTAATGTTTATGGGAGGTGAAAACTAAACACTCTATCTCCATGCAGGGAAGGCCACGGGAAAAACAGCGAGTTCCCAAATAAGTGTCTGGGGAAGTTCAGCAACCCTGGGAAACTTACTTCAGTAGACACATCTTGTTTCATTAGTTTGTACACCTTTTCCAGCTGCACAGAAAAACACCTCGACTGTGATACAAAAAACATTACATTTATATGACACATAAAGGAACATCATTTAATACGAATAAAACTTCTTAATATTATTTAGCCTATTTTCTGTTTTATTAAAGCTTCTTGATTTGAATGAGATTCAGACTCTGATCATGACAGATCAGATGGACAAAGCTGAATGATTTCCTTCAGTATGCCACTGATCTGAGGTTTTTGGGTTTCATCTGTGTTTGCACTTTAACCATTTTCTCATTGTCTTTAACTCATTATCTCATGTGTCTCTTCCTTCCTCTGTAATTGGTTGTAATAGATCCTTGTCCCCTTGATTCCTTCTGTGTGTGTTTGTTGTTTTGTTGAGTTCTCTGTAAGTGTTTATCATTAAATTATTTTTCTGCCTCCATTATGTTGTAGTTTTGGTGCTTTTCTCAAATTGAACAAATCATGAACGTACCAAACTAAACAAAGGTAAATTCGCAATTCAAAAGCTATGTTATATGACTGCAGCTTTCAAATACGAATAAAGTAATCGCGTGAGAGAAAACAGCCTCAATTATTCAAATTTTGTCTCTTCTTGTGTCCAAGTGCAATGACAAATATTTATCCCACTGCAGCTGTGTGAGAACCAAAACTGTAGAAATGACTTTCCAATCATTTCCAGACCGATCTTTTGTTAATTGTTATTTGAAAACTGCATGTTATATTTACTCAGATTATCTCTAATAGTAAAATGTGTTTGATCTGAAATGCATTACAAACGAAAAAGAAGAAACTCTGTGAAAGTGGACACTATATTTGTTTTAAACATAACTGTGTGAATCTGTATAAATGAATTGATTATCTTCATTTTATATTCTGTCTGCTATTGGTCTATAAAATGTTCTTGGGCTGAAATACATTGAGTTGCTGGTCAGGTCTTCAGATACTTGCTTAATTAAAAAAAGAAACCACTTAAATCTGAAAAATGTTTTTAAAAGCAGATTTTTATCAAAGTACTTGTCAAACAAACTGCCTGTTTGAAGTGTGAGTCTTCAATCTAATATCAGATTAAAATTGGCTTTTAACATTATACAATTGGAGTATTTGCAATACTTTATTTTTTTTAAAATGCTTTGTAAAGCACTTAATCACCTTGTGTAGAAACAAAATTGCCTTTCCTTCATTAAATGTGCCGCCTGTGAGCAGAGGGCATGAATATTTATCACATCCGTGATTCTACTTTTTTCCCTTGACTATTTGCTGTCATAACCACAATATTAAAAAAATAGGTTTTGTTGCCTACACTAGTGATTTAAAAAATGTTTTCTCATTTTGATCAGATTTGTTTTAGTTAGATTAGTCAGTGAGTGCAGCTCCAAAAGCACCAAAAGCTCCAAAAGCTAATTTCTTCCCAGCCTTAGTGACCCATTATGGCCACAGTTTGGAGGTAAAAAGAAACGAACACAGCAGAGGTACGTTTACTCTTTATTTACATTTTGTATAGCTATGTTAATAAGTTTTACACCACTTGTGAATCATTCGTCCACACGACTGAGGAGAAACAAAGAGAGTCTGTAAAGGGATGTTTCTAAAGTGTCTCCAGTACAGATAACACCTGAAGTGTGAGCCCAGTAAGCCCCTGCACACACCAGTCTAACTCTACACAAACACACACATTTATAAATATATACACACACGCATTCAAGTCTTAATTTCTTACAGTGTGTCCTTTCAGCCACAGTTGATGTACTGTTAAAATGACAAGATATTGCTTTTACACTGACCTTAAATTTACCGCTATAGTTAATAAAATAAAATAAACACCATCTTTATTTGCTTTCTGGTGAACAAAGTGCATCAGTCACATTCATTTGTACTTCTTTGTCACTTGTTAAGACGTTGCTACACTTCACATGAATAAAAACCTTCAAAATAGTTTGGTGATTTGGATGCTTACATGACACACACACACACACACACACACACACACACACACACACACACACACACACACAGCAGGAGGAATCTGACTCATGGGAAGTAAAACTACACACAAAAACAAACGCAGGGTTTACAGCCGCGCCAGCAGTCACATGAGATTGATCATAAAACATTTCTGACAAATGAGACTGCTGCTGTTACTCTTACTCTGATTAGTTTTGGAAAACAACATTACCTAAGATACTGAATTGAGACAATAGAGAATAACTTCGAATTAAAAAAAAAAAAGATCTTCCTTTTGAAGGCGTCGATTCACTTTGAAGCTGAATGAAAACAATAAGGCTGATCAGAAAGATTTGTGACAGGCTAAAGAGAGACATTGAATATGGAGCAAAGTGGTAAAGACCCGACATGCAATACTCCGAAGAGCCGCTGAGTGTCATAAAAGAGCAGTCGATGTGGATTTTTAAGGAGGACAGAACAACAACAGAACAGTTTCCTGTCTAACCATGGCGGTGTATTGAATCACACCTGGTGAAAATGTGTGTGACATCGACAGCACCTGACCTGGATGGTGCTTGTACACTGAGATAACTGAGGAGGAATTCACAGTGTCCTGCTCCATCATGACCAACTACTTTAGTTTCCTTGATGCCGTTTTTTTATTTGTCTCTTTTTGCCAAATTAGTCTGAATGCAAACTCTTTACTGCAAACAGTAAAGAGTTTGCATAGTGTGGTATTATATGTACGTTTATGAATTTGGCAGGCAGTTTTCTCCAAAGTCACTTAAAGAAAAAGAGGAAATAATAATAGTAATGCAGTTAATATCAAATGTCCTGTGCTGTCATCTATTGGTCTAATCTAAGCTCTGGCCATTAGGTCTAATTTGGCTAATTTGCACACTAGATGCATACATATTTGTACTTCTTTCAAGTTAATTAATCTATGCTCATCTTGAATTTGTTTGACAGCAACATAAAAAAATAATCTATTTGTTTATATAATTGTAAATTCAGGCAGCTTAAGCTTCAAGAAGTTTACAGAAACACCTACCAACATGTTTTCCTCACTCCTATTATTCTTCTACTCCAAAGGCTTCTTCGCTACTGAGTTAATCGAGTTAAAATTCAGAAATGACTTCAATTTTTTTTTAGACTATTTGACTGCTTGTGTGGCTGAAACCCAGCGGGTGAGTGGTGAATATCGGTGGCTCACACGGCCCACCGTACGTGACGAAACCTCAACAGCGTTAACATCCAGCAGCATTTCCAGAGCTAATAACAACAAGCAACACCAAAAATGACACGGACAAATGCTTAAACACACAGAAGCCTCAAACAAAATGAAAATATATATTCTATGTTCTCATCTCTGTTCATCGACGCTCAAATATAACAGCAAATATACAGCATAATAAAATAAATAGTCCATTTATAATTTAACACCTGTGCTTTGAATATTGCAATAGAAAAATAAATAAATATGCAACATGAACTAAGATGTGCTTTATTTTAACAATTAATTTATATCTGTGTAGAAAAAATTAAAAATTTTAACATCAGTATAATGGTCACAACTGTACCTATATTTAATTTTACTAAACAGGTTTAGTATTCTACAATATACAGAAATCTGCATGTTGGTGCTTGTAATGGTTGTGCAGCTGAACTGTCTGCTGTTCAAACTATTAGCTGACAGCTTAATGTTATTTGGGCTTTAACATTGCAGGTTCCTCTGACTTTTGGTCCAGTTTTGTCAATATTGTTCATTATGATTTGTGCTTTTATTTTTCTTTTCACATTCGGCCTCTGTGCTGTTTGGGACGTACAGGACCCTCCACAGATACTGGCATGCCTGGAAAACATGGGTACTAACGCCTTAAGATAAACAGCTGTTATGGAGACTTGGCAACCTCTGAAACACACTGTAACAATCATTTTAATTAACTCTATAACCATCACTGTGATACTGCCACTTTGAGGTTTGCATTTGGGTCCAACTACAAATCACAACACTTCTGTGTCAAGTCAAATTTACGTTGAAATTAAAGTTTTTAGACACTTTAGTATATCAATATATCTATCGCCATAAATTGCCAATAACGACAGCACACATGATTTTATTAAAAATAATGATTTTCTAGTGGAAATGTTTCTGCACACACTGAATAAGTTTACAGGAACTGAAAAATTATTTTCTGAAAGATTTTTTTTTGTTTTAGTAAAATCAAGCAGCTACAATGAAGATTTAAACATTTTGTAGCTTTTCACACATTTTTACCAGGGATGCCAGGAAGTGGAGAGGAAAATGTTATTAGTTATAGAAATACATTTTGATTTGTGCATCTCTTTACAGATAAGACAATTACAACCAGCGATTTACTTGTGGACATAAATTGTAAAAATACACGTGTGCTTTTGTAGCATCAATCAAACAGATTCGACTTCAGATTAGCTTTAAATTAGCAGGAAGATGTCGTGTCTTCCACACATATAAAACGTACCATACGGGTTTGTGTTCCAGTCTCATGAGTACAAAATAAAATTCATAAAATAAACTTTTACTCCAACTCAACACATGTGAGTCTCACATTCCTGGCCTGAATTCAAGTGTTTTGTTGTTTTTACTCTTTGGTGGAGAATCTAAAACGATTAACTTCTACGTAACGTGAAACGTGTCTGTGTGTGATGGAGGTGCTTTAATCTCCACATAGTAAAATGTACAGGCTTCTCTAACTAACTGTGCATCGATATCTACAGACTGACTGAACAAAGATCGCTACATAAAATCCTGGAGGATTTTAAACTTTGGGTCTGAATGAAACAGATTTGTACATCTTTACAGCAGCCTTATATAAATATCACACAAACACATTCAGAAAACTAAATGTAGTTTTTTTTAGATGTCTTTTGTGTGTGTTCATTTCAGACTCACTGCATATTGGACTAACAATACCTTGTTTTATCCAGTGTGTGGCTTCAATCTGATCAAGAAAAGCAAAAGAAACTGTGTTTTGAAGCGTCTACGCTACAGAAAATTTAAATTTCCTGTGCTGTCCATGTAAAAGGCTGGAAACTAAACTGCATGTCGGATTGGTTTTAGTCAGAGGAAAGTCAAGAGTCTGACTCTGGTGTGAGAGGTGTCGGCGGCGTTGTTGGCGTCGTGGGACTTATCGCAGCGTTTTGGTAGCTTGTACCGTAGCAGACATTTGGAGACAGAGAGTTGGGATCCACAGATTTGTTCCCTGCAGGAGTCACGTAGGGTTTGCGGGCTACACCTGACAACGCCGTGTCGCCGGGCTTGGCACCGAGGATGAACCTGGCCTCGTCCTGCTCCTCCAGGTTGGAGATGTCTTTCATTATGGTTTTACGGTAGGAGACAGACAGCTTGTTGGAGCCGTCTGACATCAGGTTGAAGTGGCGTGCGATGAAGACGATTGGGAGAGGAAGCATGGCCACTATGATGAGAGCGAAGCACATGGCCAGAGCCCAAGGAGGGTAGCTTTGGAAACGTTCCTGAGCCTGTAGGTATAGACATGTACAGCTTAAAATAAACACAAGGAGAAAGATTTACACTTCTAAAGATGGAACAGTCATATTCCTGAAACTTTTCTCACTTTATTAATTTACAGCCTCTTACTACAACATAGTTTTTGGGATAGACACAAAAAGTAGCACATAATTGTGAACCGGTACAAAAAGGATGCATAGTTTTCAACAATCTTTTACCAATAAAAATCTGTAAAGTTATTGGTTACCAAATTATTTCAGTTTGTTTCTGTCAGACTAATCTGTGATAAAGTTCCTGCTATAGAAAACACTACCAGTGCAGATTCGGCTCCAACAAAAAATCAATCCAGTGAGTCATCCATGTTTATTGTTCTCCTCTATTAACTCTTTCTATTCTTAACATCCACTTCATGAATAACTTCTTACTACTCGTTTTTCTCAAATGATCTTCATGGCTGGTTTAGCCATCGATCTCATATGCAACTCCTGCATGTTTTAGTCTCTCCCTGGTTTAACTCACCTGGATCCAACGATGGATCGTTAGAAGGCCTAAGAAGAACCTTGACCTGCTGAAAATGTTGTTACTACCACTAGAGAGAGAACAAAAACATGCAGGATGCTGGCCCTCCAGGACTCACTGGACACCACTGCTGCAGGTGGCGAGGATAGATGCAGTCAGACGCAGGTCAGGTGCAAAAATTAGTTTAATGACGTCCAAAGGTACACAAAGCCAGGAACCACAGGTGAGCAACACGAACAGGAACTCTGTGGCATGATGACGGCGCACGACTTGTCAAGACAACAAATGATAAAAGACCAGTATCTTGGAACACAGGAGAGATTTAAGACATGACGGATTAATCAGAGGAACGAGAGGCAGCTGGGACAACACAGGGACTAAATGAACTGAAAAAACTCGCAGAAAGCCCAAACCCCTGCATATATAAACTGACCAGGTCTTGGACCCAGGCGTTGTATCCAGGTGGGCTGATGGCCATCTCTATGACCGAGGCTGAGATGAGGACGATGAGACACAGAGGAGAGACGTACTTCCACAGGTAGAAGTAGATGATAGACGGTCGAAAACCCAGCATGTCCTCCAGGTCTTGCATGAAGCTGACAAAAAGATGACGGCAAATTTTACACAACATAAAAATAGACGTAAAAAACAATACAAACATTTTTGACCACATTTTTACATTTAATAACAAGTCTTAAGATTTTTATTTTAATGTAAAGCACTTTGTTGTTGGAAATATGCTATATAAATAATAGTGACCTTGTGACCTTTGACGTTGAACTGAAATCTGCTTGCATTGGAAGTTTTTAAAATATACTGACACAAAGTGGAGCATCATTTTAAAGGTTACTACAAATAACATCAGAAAAATATGGCATGTATTTGTACCTGATAAATATAAATTTTATAAAATAGTACAAATAAAATAAAATATACGCATCGAGAAAAAAACTACAAAAGTTAATTATTGGTGACAGTGACAATCTAGACAAGGATATTTTTACATATTTGGCCTTGTAAAAAAACAAAAAACAAAAAACTCTTGCAAGTTTAGATTGGATGGACAACGGCATTTTGGAAGCTTTGCCAAAGACTATCAGCTGGATTTAGGTCTGGGCTTTGACTAGGCTATCCCACTGTAATTCTGGTTGTTTGGTCAGGGTTGTTGTCCTGCTAGAAGGTAAAACTCAAAACTTTAACAACCTCTAAATGGTTTTCTTTCTGGATTATTCTGTATTTAACTCCATCAAATTGCACTTTAGTGGGATCCAAGTAAGGAGTCACAAAATTACTGAGTTTTATTTCTAAAAAAATAACATTTATGTCATTATTATGCTATTCTTTGCGATGAAATCCTAAAAGAATGCTATAACGTCTTGGCTGTAACTTAACCTTACGTCAGTCAGTGTGTATAAATCCTTTTGTGAATCACTTTCTATAGTAACACACTCACAGTCTTACCGTTTAGTGCCGTAAATCCAAGCGACCGAGACATTTTCCAGGATCACGACAACAGTGAGGGGCAAACCGGCTGAGTAATCATCAAACATGGTGACAAAATAATTTCCTGAACGCTGAACAAACAATAGCCCACAGAGGAAGGCCACAATGCAGCAGCCCACTGAAAAAACACACAGACAAGAGGAAACATTAGAGCTATTCTGAGAGGAATATGGAAAAATATCAACAGTGTTTTCCAGCCCATTACTGGTTCCAAATCCTATTATTGCTTTGGCATTCAATACACGTGAAGCATTGACACAAAGCTTAATGCAGGCTATTCCCGGATGTATTTTAATAAATCATAAGTGCTGAGTTCAGAGTTTGTGAGGGAGTAAAAGGAGAGCCGGGGCAGGAAGTTGATGGGGAGAGCTGGGAGTACCTGTGAAAAGCTCTTTCTGAACTTTGTAGGCATCAAGGACGGGTGTGGTGATGCCAGTCATGGTGCCAATCATGCTGCCCAAGCCAAGGTTGATTAGCATGAAAAAGAACATTACAGACCAGAAAGGGGATGCTGGGAAATGGGTCATGGCCTCCGTGAAGGCGATGAAGGCCAGGCCGGTGCCCTGAACTGCCTACAGAGAGACGATCCAGGCAATGAGATGCTGTTCATGCTGTAGGTCAGCTGATTGTCGATGTGTCATAAACACTCGCCTTGTTGAGTTCGTCCTCCAGGAGACAGGGCTCCAGACCCAGCTTGGCAAAGCCGTCCTCCTTTACCGTCTTGATGATGCTGTACACGTCAGCGTAGTCTGATGGGGTGAGATGGGAAAAGTTCACGTGAGGAGGAATGAGATCGTGACTCAGGACGTTGGAGTTGAGGTATCCCAGGATCTTTTCTCCATTTCTACAGACATTAAAAAGTAGAGCGATCATGTAGCAAACATACAGCTGATGACAGACATGAAGCTCAACAAAAACAAGCCACACCTGGACAGAAAATATGTTTTCAGCTCCAGGTGTTTAAGAAATGAGGTCACAATTACACTCACGCAGTGTTCTGTATGTTTGCTTTTTCTATTCTAGTTACCTTTAATAATCTATTTGAGCTTTAGTTTTTATTCCAAACAAGAGTAAATCTATAACAAAGTCTTAGAAAAACGACCAATAATAGGTTATCATTGGTTGTTTTTCTACGATTTCATTATATTTGTAAGGCATTTTAAAGAAGGGATTTGTTTTTACAAGTAATGGATGAGTGAGACTTTTCTATTCTTATATAATCTTTTCTGAACTTATTTTTTCATACTGTGCTATTTGAGCAGTTTGAACTGATGTTGAGCTTAACTGGGGAACATAGAAAAGTTTTGCAAAATTTCTGGCTGTTCAATTACGTGCATCGTTGCCTGTGGATTTTGTTTAAAAATACATTGCTATATTGCTTGATATGTGCATTGTTGCTTTACTTGATGTATTTTTATTTATTTGTGTATTATCGAATGGTGTGGTGCAACTGATAATAGTCCAATATGATCAAAATCAAATAGTGCAAGTGTATTCTATGTCAGGTGATATTTTGTAAACATTTAAACATTTTCTTTTTTTAGTTTCTACAAAAATTAAGTAGTCGATTAATTAGAAATTTAATGAGCTTAAGCAGCTAAATGATGCCGTGAAATCACAACAAAACGTTTTCATGTGATGTAATCCTGACATTGTGCTCATGTTACGGTTTTTATTTCTCTGAGAGCGAGTGTTGGACTTACTCTGCCACGCATTTTTCATTCATGATGTTGGCCTTGAAGCCCAGCACGGCGAACACCACCAGCGTGGCCAGAATTGAGGTGAAGAAGTTAATGAAGGAGACGAGGACGGCGTCGAAGTGGCAGTTGTTGTCCATTTTGTTGTAACTGGAGAAAGCTATGACGCCTCCGAACCCCAAACCCAGAGCAAAGAACACCTGAGTGGCCGCTTCCCTCCAAATCTGCGGCTCCAGCATCTTCTCCAGCTGAGAGACGAGGCGTGATTATTAGGAGCTACTTGACTGGTGGGTAGTTTTCTGGAGGTAACGTCATTTAATCAGACTCACCTTTGGAGTAAACATATGAGCGATCCCATCTACTGATCCTTTGAGCATCAAGCCTCTGACCAGGAAGCAGAAGAGCACCACGTAAGGGAAAAGAGAACTGAAGTACATCACCTGCAGAAGAGAAATGCACTCTAAGAAAAGGAAAACATTGAAGTTCTCTAATGTTTCCTCCATTCCCACTACCTTCCCAGAAGAGGCGATTCCTTTAATGACAGCAAGGCAGACAATTATCCAGGCCACCAGCAGAGACAAGGTCATTTTGACGTTGAGGCCGCCGCTCTCCGCGATGGTGCTGGTCGTGTTCAGAGTCTGCCGGTACCAGAAATATGTAGTGGCTGAGCTTTTGTCACACTCTGGCTCCACAACTGGACACAGCAAGGGGAGAATGAGAAGTTTTAAAAGCTATTCGGAAAAGAAGCAGGAGTGGAAATAGAAAATGGTTTGTTTCTGATGAAAAGAGCCGATGTGGGGATGAACAATTGAACATATATTGTAGCTGGGAATGTTTGCTCATGTTTCAATTTACCATCCAGTGTAGTTAAAACCTCTCAGAGATACACAAGGTCATCTGCGGCTTCACATGCAGAGCATGAACCACCAGAGATTGCTTTCATTCCACACACATATTTTTATTTTCCAATAATAATGAAATTAATTTACAGTATTGTCCAAATATATTTGTGCAAAAGCAGGTAAATATGTCCTTTACAGATTGTACGTTTCCATTTTCAAACTGAAATGATTAAATTGGGTGTGGAGTCATTATAATGTGAAACTATATTTCCATCTTTTAAAAATCATAACATTTCAACATTTAAATGAAAAAACTCAACAGTTTAAAATCTTCTCTTCTAGTTCTAGTTCGTTCCTAATTTCTGTTTAGTGTCTTTCTGTACAACAACCACGTAATAACTTTATAGAGGTCACTCTTTTAGTCACATTTGGTTTACTGTGGTAATAAAATCTGACATTCATTATCCCTGTCAGAATTTCCTCCCCAGCCCAGACACGACAACTTGATCATAAAATTCAGATTTTGTGCTAAATATTGGAAGTCATGTGACCTCATCAATGCCACTGTTTTGCTTGCGTTTCTTCGGTTTTACTCTGTTTCTGTTGTGTTTTCCACGACCTCCAAAACCCCCCTACGTCGGTGAAATGTGAGATTTGACGTCACTCACTGGCTATTGTCCCATTCTTTCTAATCGGACAGTCGCTCCATGGCAGAGGGTACTGGAAGGACTGGAAAAAGTAGAAGATGCTCCAACCAATGATGACGTTGTAGTAGAGACCTACAAAACCACAAACCTAGATAGATAGATAGATAGATAGATAGATAGATAGATAGATAGATTTTCAACATTTTAATGCAGAATAACTTCTGTGCAATGCAAGATTAGCATTCAGTTGAGGCAGTAGGATGTTCTGTAAATGCCCCAAGCTGCTGCCAGTCTTCTATACAATCTTTCCAGCAAGGACATTCAGACTCTAAATAAGGTTGGAGAAAGCATGAATAATTAAAGTCTTCTCTTTTCAGCAGCGATCTTCTCTGTGGTATTTATAGCCACAACTTCACTGCCAGTCGTGCTACTCTGAGTAAAGGCTGCCTTGCATTCTCAAACACACGCGTGACGTCCACAAACCACAGAGGGAGCACATATACAGTACGTGCAAACACACGCAGCATGCAGGTGTGTTGACGGTGCACACTGTTGGGCTTTCTTTCAAGTCAGTTTCATGTTTTAATCGTCTGAACTGGTTTGACTTGTCACAAATTAATCAGTTGAGTTTAACGCCTTCCTCGTAATTTAACAGCAAAATTATGCAGAGAGCATACAGCGGTAAAACCAGTTGACCACATGTACTGGAGTAAATGTGGCAGGGCTCTGTCAGGGGTGCTAGGCGCAGAGCCCCTTGACTTAGCAGTCGGGAGGTTTCTGAAACGGCTCATTTTCCAGATGTCAAAAAACCTATTTTTAGTCACTTGGGTTGTTTTTAGAAGTAACTGAAACTGAAATGGAAGTATAAAAACATGCAAAATGTGAATTTTGTATATAAAGTCCCCTTTAAGAACCAGCTACCCATTGTTTTAACACGTAAATAATAAATATGTACAATCCACTGTTATGAATGACCTTTAGAAGCGGTAAGTAGGCAGCAAAATTTTGGAAGGTACTAAAGAGAAAAAATGTTCTCTTAGCTTAACATTAACTTAATGTTTCTAATATTTAACATGCTAACTAAGGCTCATTATGTCAGAGATGTAGCTGTTAAATTTCATTTTCCAATGATAGACTGTCATCCTGTTTGCTCGTACGTCCAGTCGAGAAGATCTGAGGCAACATTTCATCTTCCTAATCTCATTCCTGCTGCAGCAACTTTGAGTGTTTTACATTTTTTATTTTATTTTGATTGCTTTGTAACCCTTCCAGGAGCGATGGCGTAGCTGTTTGCTCCAGATAAGCAAACAACTGAGACTTCAGCTTTTACTCAGCTGCTCACACATGCTGATGATCTGTGATTAAAGCATTTTGTTTGCAGTGCGACGAGCCCTGCAGGTGTTTTTGCGCTCGGGTTGGGATTTCTCCTTTGTTCTGGTTACTGTGACAGGGAACACCTGGGGACCTGGTGAGATCCTCGGCAATTTAAAGTGGACAACATTTACAATATTACATGAAGACACACGTGTTACAATTGAAACCATATAGCAAATACTCCAAATGAAAAAAAGACCTGGACATTTTTTTCTCACTAACTGAAGTCAAATCAAACCAAACTTTTCTTGTTTTATGTCAGTTTGAGTTACCAATACTATCTACTAAATGCCAGAAAACGTAGAGGGAAATTTTTTTGTCCTCTCTCCAATTAAGCACACAGCATGTCACTGATTGGACTGATCTTTACACCACACTATAGAAGTTTTGCTCTTTAATTTTAAATTGAAAATTTAAAGATTTTTTTTCTGCATCGTGGGTTTCCCTTCATGAGGCTTTGAAATGGTTCATAATTTTCTTAGTTCCCCTTGAACTAAGAAAGGGAAGGGATTGTTTTTTTTATTTTTTATTTTATTTATTTAAAAAATAAATAATCGGTTATGGTTTTCATCAGTAATTTAATGTCTGGTTGCATAAAGCTTTCTTTCTTTTTACCTGGGCTGTAAGTATTATAAATGCTTACTGGCACAGAAAAGGGACATGCTCATAAATCACACAGAGCTTTGTCTTGTTGTACTTTCACAGCTGCACATTCAGCATTTTGTTCCTCTTCAGGATTTAAGAGCTGATACGAAAACATAAACACCCAAATCCTTATCATCTGAATTATTTACTGTTAAAGAGAGAAAAAAAAAACAAGCGTGGGTACCAACAGACTTGACATCCCAATCCCACCGAGACGAGGACAGACGTAGTTCCAGACTCCGATGCTCCCACGTCTTATCTTCTGACCCACAGCCAGCTCCAAGAAGAAGAGCGGGATGCCGATAATGAGGAGGAGGATGAAATAAGGGACCAAATATGCACCTGAAAGACAGAATAATGGGTTTTCAAAAATTATTTATTCATTAAATTTTCCTGTTTGCTTAAAGGTGTCCTATTGTGCTTCCTTGAACAGGTTAGGATAGATCTATCAGCCATGTAACACATGTTTGTTACATTTTTGTACAAAATTATTCTTGAATAACTAGATTTTAGTCTGGTCACTTCTGGCTATTTTGAGCTCAGAATGAGACATTTTAAGGCCTCCTGTCACTTTAAACCCTATTAAGTTGCTGCATATGCCCCCAACTAAACATTTTTATTAGCTTGAGAAAACGGTTGCAAAGAAACACGCACTTACACAAATGTACGTTTTTGAAAAGCAGAAATAGGGCCTCCTGCGCAACCAACAAGAATGCAACAATGGACTTCTAGATGGTAAGTCAGTAACAAAACACTTATTTTTTCCAGTAGCCATTATTCAGCGTATACAACAGAAAATTAAGCTGGACTGCAGCTCTGCCTGGGTTGCTAGGTAATGGCTCAGTGCCCGCTGATTTCGATGGAGGTTTTTGAAAGGCCAAATTTTTCAGACACCAAAAAAACTTTAACTTATTGCCATAAAACAGCTGAGTATTTTTTTTTGTGCTCAGGTCATTTTTAGAAACAACTGAGACCCAAATAGAAACAAAAATGTACAAAATGTGAAATGTGAATAATACGTTCTCTTTAACTGAATATATTTCTTCATCCTCAATTCAGCCACAGATTTTTTACACAACACAAGAAGTCAAACATGAAGAGAAAGAAGGAACAAAATGATGGACAATGTTTTAAAAAAGGAGATGTATGAGAGAGAGCATGATGGGATCCCACACAGCAATAACTCCAGGATAACTCGGTCTGTAATTTGTTGGTAATTGGCTGACAGACAGTAAATTACACGTGAAAAATGGCTGCCAGCCAAGGATCCCAACCGGACCGCTTTGAGGAAATAAATTGAGCCTTTAGGCATTAAACTGTTTTGCTTTTGAAAACAGTCGGGACAATTAAAGCATCAACACATCAGTCTGCTACGCCAAGTTGTTGCTCCTGATAGTGAAAATACACAATTCATACCTCTGGTTACATACATGAGACAAAGTAAAGCCTATAAAGTTTCAGTTTCCTCCAGCTGCTGTTTACAGGAGGATTGGTTCAGCCTGGCCCGGCCCGGCCCAGCTGTAGTAATCAATAGTGCGGCTATATTTAGACCTTTTCAGCACAATGCAGCTGCTCTCTTGGCAGTTCTGCTCTGAATGAAAGCAATGAGCTGCTTTTGATGGCTGAGCTCTGAGGTGAACTGCTGAATGACTTTCATAGAGGAACCAAGAAGCGAAGCAACTTACATCTGCAAATTACCTACATTTTAACATGAATACTGCTTCAAAATATGATTTCCTGACGGATTATTACACATAGTCAACCTCGTTTTCCTGAAAAAAATGAGGTGTTAAATTCAAATCCAAAAATAATTATTCATCAGATAGATTTGCAGGAACTTAACTGATGTCAACATCACATCTTCCACACATTAAGAGCTGCACTGCTCACTCGTCTGTTTTGTCTGCAGGCATTGCTGAAGTTTGAAATATGCTCTCATGTTGGTAATTAGAGGTTTTTGCTCTGATGCCTCTTTGTAATTGACTTGCGTTGTCATTTACTGCTGCTTGATCGCAGCGATTGCACTACATCTGCTCTGGATTGAATATCATAACACATGTAACTTATACACAAAGCGTCTGGAAAGTATTCACAGCACTTCACTTTTTCCATATTTTGCTATGCATTTTTGTTATATATTCAATAAGATATTCCTAATTGTCTTTAGGTGTGTGTGTGTGTGTGTGTGTGGTAGTTTGTCCTGTGTGTCTCTGGATGTAACAAATTTGAACCAAAGTGAGTTAAATTTCCTTGAACTGTCTTAAAATAAAAAGTGGATATATTTAAATAAAAGTAACTTGAACTTAATTAAGTTAAATTGAATAGAAATAAAATTTATTTATCTGAATTGGAGTGAACAGAGATGAACTCTGACCATCTATAAATACCAATAAACACATTCAGGACACTGTTAGCTTCTGAATTAAAACTGTTGTCTAAACAAGACATTCTAGATAAAAGGGTAGGACAATTACCAAAATGTTTACAACAGGTTAAAAAGGTTTTATTTCACATTATTAAACTGGGTTAGATGGACGACCTTGACCTCTCTATCAACGGCATATTTTTATTTATAAGGACATTTTAGAGCTTCTTCCTTCGTATTTGTTTACGAACATGAAGGAGGATGTTCAGTACGTTGTGAGAACTTATTTATAATTTCTGTGACTGAAATCTGAACTGAACTTGGAAACAAACATTTTCAGTTTTCTGCTCCATTTTCTTGAAGAAAATCATGGACCTAAAGCATCTGCTGCCACTAAATGTTTTAAGGTTTTTTATGCTGATTATGAGAAGAAATCATCTGTCTGTAAATGTTTTACACAGCGAATCTCTGAGTTAATCAATGAATTATGGTGTTGCCTTTTTCTATGTAAGGAGAGTTTTAATCTCAATGGGACTTTCCTGGTGAAATAAAGGTTAAGAAAGAAAAGTAAAATCCTCCTTCCTCTGTGCTTCCTGCAGATTCAGCGCTGAACATTTTCACCCTGCTCACCTCCTCCGTTCTTTTGGCAGAGGTACGGGAATCGCCAGACGTTTCCGAGCCCCACGGAGAAGCCCACCTGGGCCAGGATGTACTGCAGCTTGCTGTTCCACGCCGGCCGGCCGTCGTTCTCGGGAACTTCTATCTGAGGGATCTTCTTCCCTGCGGCTGCTCCCACGTTCAGGGAGCTGCTCTTGTAATCGAGAGGCTCCTCGTGGGCGAGCAGGTCGGCCACCGACTCCGTGACGTGCTCATGGCTCTGCTCGCGTTGCACCACCTTGCTGGTCTTAGGCATCAGGGAGGCTGGGGGGGTTTGGGAAGGGGTCAGGGGATGAACACAGAGAAAAAGAAGAAAAGGAGGACAGAGAGGTAGAGACTGAGAGGAGGAGAGAAATTACTGGAGTGGGGAGAAGAGATGAATGGATGAAGAGATGAGGAAGAGCCTGAAGGGTCCAGTACTTGGTTCCAATTCTGCATTTGGAGAATCAAAAACACAAAATGTGTTTCAAAACCAAGAACAAATATAGTGGACAGATGTTCAAATTCAACAACAAAACTTTCACGCTTCTTCTACCTCACTGTGGTCTTTAATTATGACTTCAATTAGCTGCTATACGCTGTTAAACACTTGAGCTGCATTTAGTTGTGTCTGCTGTCTTCTGCCCTTTAAGTCAAATACATTTAGTGAGTTTTAGTTTTTGAACCTGATTGTGAGTTTGTGAAACATAAATCTACAGAAGCAAGTTGTGTTAACTTTTGATTAATTTTGCAAAACCTCAAATAGTTGAATAAACTGGAGATTTTAGGTTAGCGATTAAAAAATAATAAAAAAAGAAAAAGAATTTCCCAGAATGCTTTGCTGCTTGTTTTTGTATCCTGAGACGTAACTATGTTACATTGATCTGATTCTTGTGTGTTATCAAGGCAAATGTTTATTTTAATGCAATTTTCAGAAATTTTGAATTTAAATTTTCAAATAATTTAAATTTGAAACAAAAATTTTAATTATTCTAAAAGTTATTTTAACTTCATAACATGAGTGAAAATAATAGAGATTATATATTATTCAGTTAAAACTCAATTCAAGATTAACGAACAATGTTTACAAAACATGTTTCTTGTTGTTAAATCAACTTCATAAACTTTAAAGCAAAATCAGTTTTCTGGTTGACTGAATTGGCATTTCCAAGGCAGCAGGTGGATTTTCATTTTCAAGTTAAAACCACCTTCACATGTTTTACAGTGTGCTGGTTATGCTAACGGTTCTCAAGTCATGAACTCGGTTCTGGGTGATGCTTCCTCTTATGTAACATTTTTGCTCCCAAAGTTTTCAATTCTGAAAATTGTTCTGTTTATCAGAAAAGCTTAGCTCCAGCGATGCTTTTTTCGCTCTGCAAATCCTCTAATCCTCTAAAGCATTGCAGTAACATGCATGCCGGCCCCTTTTTCAGGGAACCACTGCTGTCATGCAAAAGTAGTGGAGGAGGTGAGCATGATGCAGAACCCTCACGTGTGTTTTCCTGATCCACATCGCATCGCATGCGCCTACTGCTGCAGCTCCTCTGTCTAAAAAAGAAACATCTGGAATGAAACTGTAAACGCTGCACGATGTTTCATCAAAAGAAAGGAATGAAGGTAAATATCTGCTGTGATTAAGATTTAATTCTGCCATGAATTTGTAAAAATCACTACTGAAAGCTTTTACAACAACAGAACTAATGGTGAATCCCACATCCTGCTTCCCAAAACAAAGAAATAAAATCAGAAATTAAAATATGATTCTCTAGCATAATAATCCGCTTTCCCCTAAAATCAATTTCTACAAAAACTGTCACAATGTGAATTATTAGAAAGATAGAGAATTTTAAAAAATACCCAAAAAACAGTTTGAAAATACTCTTTTCGTGTCCAAAATTACAATAAATGTTTCACAAACCTCCAACTTTGTTTTACGTAAATAATCTCTGTTCAGTGAAAAATAATCAAGCAGAGGTCAAACCTGTTTAAACATGTAAGATTTTAAAATATTCAAAGAAATGCAATTCAGACATTTAAAAAAAAACACACACACACAAAAAGTCCTTTAATTTTGCATCAATCTTTGGTTACCAACACTTCAAATCCAACAGCTTATGCCATCAGGAATATTGAGTAGCGGTAGTAAACTAGTAAACACCTATTCACAGTGACTGGATACGGAAACCCAAATGTGTTTCATGATCTGTTAAATCTTTATTTTTTTTTTTACTTATTTTGTAGTCTCCCTTTGAGTTTATAGTCATTTTAAGGCAAAAGCCTTATGGCCACATCGCAAGTGATTAAAAATAAAATAGAACACGCTATTTTAATTCTAGGACATTTTAATGCATTTGTTTATAAATATAACAACTGACTTCACTAATTAAAAAAGGCTTTCTATTTAATTTTACCTTTAATTTTGTCATCCCTTTGTATTTCGTTGCTGTCTGTTCCTCTACGTTTCTTTGAGTTTGTATTTTTTTTTATAATTTTTGTTCACATTTATTTTTTTAGCATAGTCACAAATCTATTGAGTCATATATTCTTCATTTTGGTAGGTTTGGTCTTCCATAGCTTTAAGAGGCAGACCCGAAATGCCCCACAAACCCTCTCAGCAGGAAGTTACATATTTGCAATGTGTTATTCTCTATAAAAACAGATTTCCTTTTTCCCCATGTGAAGATGAGCTGCTGATGCAATAATCCACAAGTCATGGTAATCCTGGGCGCATTAACCAGAGCCCCTCCTCCCCTGTGCTGCTTTCCGACTTGTCATCCATTCCCACTCTACAGTACACAAGACACGTAACGTGAGCCGTGGCTGCATCATCCTTTCAGCTCCAGGAACACATCAGCTCACAGAACCAATAATCCTGCTGGAGAATAAAGCAAATCGACCCAGAATGTAAACGAACTCGGCAAATGATGAGAGTCGATGCCTCAGGGCAGCTGGGAGAGGAAGTCCTCCTTATTCCTCCTTCATCGTTTATTAACTTGTCCTTGAAATATGTCAGCTTTTTTTTTAATGCTTTTTCGTGTAAAAATGCAAAGTTTCTATAAGTTAGACCGACACAACTGTGAAGAGGAAGAGGAACTTTCCATGCTTTGATCTAAACGTTTCCCACAGTCACATTATTTTTGCAGCCCTTATTATTTTCTTTTCAAAGATTACTCTTGTATTTCACTCCATCTATTTTTACATCAACTCTATCCAGCCTCTCTGAGAAGCAGACCCACATCATTATGCTGCCACTACCATGTTCCTGCCTGGGGTTGGTGTTAGGGCTGAAATGATTCATCAGCTTTATCTTGATGAATCGATTATTGAAATAATAGGCAACTAATTTACTAATCGACTAATCGTTAATTGCAAAAGGGAATTTGGTAAAAAAAAAAAAACACAACATATTCAGAGGAGTAATTCAACCAAAACTGTATAAAAATATATACATTTTAAATTGAAGATAAATAACTCCTTCGACTGTATAAATATGTCATCCAAACGTCCTTAAGTGCTTTAATTGTATTGCCATTCACCTCAAATTGACTAAATTAATGTTATTGAATTTTACTCAATAAAATATTAACATTTAAAAGAAATAAATTGAACTGCTTGTTTGCATCTTTAATGTATTTCTAATATCGTATAAAAAGATTCAGTGGTTAAATTAGGAATCTGTAGACCGTGCCAATCTGCTTGATCACCAGAATAATCGATATGATAATTGATTACCAAAATAATAGTCAGCTGGTGTGTTCAGCAGCATGTGCAGTTCAGCAGCATGTGCAGTGTAAACCCCGTTTTCCTGCTCTTCTATAAAAAACTGATTTGTGGAGTGAATGGTTTCCAGCAGGTTCAATCTGAATTTATTTCAAGATGATGTTTTAATGTATTTGGATTATTTGTGTTTCTTGTTTTCTGTCACATAATGGCTTTCCTCTTAGTTGTTTGATTCTTTTGTTCTGTTCCTTGTGTATTGTTTTAGTTTTGTGCCCAGTTGATCCCTCGAACTTGATTTTTACTAATTAGTCACCGTCCTTCAGCTCCTCTGGTTCCCCTATATGTTTCACTTGATTCGTCTCATCTAGTTCAATTAAAAGCTATGTCATTAATCCCCGAAGGAAATGAAATGTAACTCATATTATACAATTTATTGAAAGAGTTGTTGCAGAAGCTGATAGCTGTGCAGTCAGCTGATGTTCTCCAGAAGAACATCTGGATTTAAACTGGGAATAAAACTTAAGACGCACAGCTGTTTGTACTTTGGGTTCCATTCATGTTCCTGCTTTGATCAGTTTTGTTATTTACTTTAATCTTTTAGTTTTGTCTGTCCTTTTGTATTCTGGAAAGTGTTCTGTTATATTATTTTCATTATTTTCTCTTTCATTTGTAGTTTCTCTGTGTCTAATATTTGTTTGTTTCTCTTAAAGCCTTTTCCTGACCTGAAATGACCATCAATTCTCCTCAGTTGGAGTTTGTGAAGCTTTCTGCTGGTGTCAGTTTGTCTTTTTTATAAATTGTAAAATGAAAGTGTTTATTCCTCATCATTAAACACGACAATTATTTCTCCATCAGGACAACAACAGTTTCCGTCACCAGACAGCAGACCTGCAGAGAAATCTCCATCTCATCCTGATTGAATTTTGCTATCACATATCAATAACATCCAGTAAGATGAGTGATAATTGGCAGCTTTCGGATACGATCACGGAACTTGATCTGTTGTTTTAACGAAAACGTGCAGACAACCAAATGTGGTTTCTTTTCAGGGATTAAGAGCAGGGCTGTTTTAATGTTCTTGAGTTTTCTACTCCTTATCAAGTACAGAAAATGACACAGTCACAATAAAAAAATGTCCTGTCAGTTGCTTTATTGCAGTGTATGCACGGATCAGATCTGGGAATCTTGTTGTGCAGATGTTTCTGCACCAAGCTTGACAGAGGCCGATAGAATAACTTCATTTGGACAAAAGAAACTTTTTTGGAACTTATGGGAATTTTAGGAAACTCATTTAGAATTGAGTATAAGATATTAGATAGAAATATTACCATGGCCAGACACCAATGCCAAAAACAATGAATATTCATCAGATGTATCCATTGGTTTAGTCAAAACTGCGTGCAGCGATTAGAATGAAATATGTGGCCTCAGTTTTTCTATAAGTGATGGAGGAGCATGTAGAAGGCGTGGCCTCAAAACCCCTGCAGAGACTGAATGTGACTGACTGTGTTCTTGCATTAAATCTGTTTTTATTTTAGTCAACATTACGCAAAATACATTTCACTTAACCATATTTAAGAACCCCTGGCTGCAGCCAAGTTTGAATGTTTATCGTTTATTACTATTATTCTGCGTTTATTCCTGTTTCATTTATGTAATCCTCCATAAAGTCTTGCTAAATCCCCAGGAAAGCTTCCAAATGTGAACATTTCAAATCTCTTCTGTGAGTATTTCGCAGTCTCTGGACTAGTTTACATTGAAGGCATTTATCCTGAATCTGGAACACAGCGAAACTCAAGCAGACTCCTGAACGACCTTAAAAGCGCCACAGCGGACCCCCGCTGAGCGGAGCGGCTGGCACATGTGCTGCAGCTGGTTTGCTCCTCATGGGGGGACGCATCGACTTCCAAACACACCCAAGGTCAAGCGCGCGTTTGTTTCCTGACCTCCGCCCAAACCGGCAGCACGTTTCCCTCCTCCAGACGCTCAGATTCAGACAACTTAGTAAGATTTAAACATCTAAGTTTCTCTGCTGTTTCAATACAGGATACAAGAAATTCCCAAACTGCGCTGAGGACGCATCTCAACTTCTGCAGCGAGCCAGTCTGCATCGTGCATTTATAAAACACGGGCCCTGCTTACCGTGGGTATTTTTGCAGCGTTGTCCTCCGGTTAAAACGATGTCGGACGATGCGCGCAGAGTGAAGGAGCACATCCACGGAGCAGGTTGGGTGAGTGTTTGGTCCAGACCGAGCGCTCACGGGACTCTGAGGACGGACGGAGCATCACATGCTGAGCATCTGAACATCTGACAGGCAGGGAGGAGAGTCCGGAGCGCACCGTGACGCACAAGCACCGCTCATTATGCGCGGTGCACAAGCACCCGCCGCTCCCGCACCGGTCCTCTGGACGCTGGACTCCACCTCATCCATCCGAAGGGAGCGAAACTGCCGGGGCAAATAAAGAGAGAGAGCGCTCTGTCTTGTTGAATTGTTCGGATTGGTTGGAGTCTGAGGAACATGAGAGCAACTTTCACCTGTGTTGTGAAAACCACTACTGGTAAACTTGGTTCTACCGTCAGAAGACAGTAAAGAGCTATTTAACTTAAAATAAATGCATCTTTTTTTTTTAACACGAATATAGTTGTGGCGGGTTATGAGTTTTAACCCATTTGGGTCAGTTTAACCCAGCATTTGGTCAGGATAGGCCTAATGGCTACACAAAACATGTCCAATACATTATGCACAATTATGGAATCTATATCTTGGTGAATTAGCATCAAAACACTTATCTTTTCCAGCAGCCATTGTGCATGCAGTGGTAAAAACAGCGACACATACATGCTGGTGCTTCCGGTTGCTAGGTGACGGGCTGGACTTGGGTGGGGTTGCTAGGTAATGGCGCAGCGCATCACTGGTGACTCACCAAATGGGAGGTTTTGAAACGACTCGTTTTTCAGACACCAAAAATGATAAACACATGGTCAACTGGGGGAGTTTTTAAAGCACTTTGGGAGTTTTTAGAAGCAGTCGAGACCAAAAGTGAATATAAAACCGATCCTTTAAAACTAACACATTTCACAAAAAGAGCTTCATGCTTATAGTCAACGTGATGGTGGGAGGGTGGTGGTTGCATCCGGACCTGGAAAGCATTCCCTAACCAATCTAGAAAGATCTGAGGGAGAAATAAGGGTGTTTGAGAGGCCTAGTTAAAGTCCAAACCTAAATCCAAGCTGGAGTTTTGTAGCAGGACCTGAGGCTTTGTAGCTGATTTAAAGTCATAACAGCGACTCTTTGTAAATGACCTTAAGTGCTCAAAGTTTTTATGACCAAGGACGGGACAACCGGCTGCAGGTTGGCTTAAATAGACTTCTGTGAGGGATTTTTTGAATCCATTCAGAACCAGAACCTATTAGAAATGTAGCTTTGAAAACAGAATCCAGGAAAATGTCAAATTGCCCCCAAACTGAAGGCAGCCTCCAGGTAATCCAGTTTGTTGATCAAGCTGTCTGGAGTCGGACTGGGCGGTCTCTGCTCTATTAAGACCTTGGCACGTCTGCAGCAGACAGGGACCCCCAGGAGACCATAAATCACACTCATACAACATTTTAGCACCACAGAGATCCAGGGGGAAGATAGTATCGAATGGCCATTTTTCATCCTCGCCTGATAGATTTATGTTCCCTACATGTCCGCCTCCCTGGCTGTTGTAGTAAAATGTGTTTCATCAGTTGAGGTTTATGTTTATCCCTGCCTGAATATTGAATAAATACACCAGATTGAATCCATACTGGGTTGTAAATATGATTAAAACAAGTGTCTGTTCAGTTTAAAATGAGTGTTTCTGTGCTTTAGTGACAGGAAAACGTGCTAAAATCTTTATTACAGCCACACTTTGCTCTGTGACTCTGTTAATGCTCCTTGTTGAAGCTGACCAGCAGCCAGGATCCACAGCGTCCCCAGGATCGTGTGTCTAATCTCTCTATCGCCTTGTGATAAATTACTTCACTGTGATTGGCTGCCGAGGCCTCCGAGGTTTCGCTAGCATCCAGGATGGAGATTGTTTTACGTCTTTTAAGAAGCAAATGTTACAAAGACGTCTCCTTTTTCCACTGCAGCACATGTCTTCGATCAGAAAGTTCTCCAGAGTGAGCTCTAGATAGAAATAACCTTTATTGTCCCTCACAGGGGAGATTCAGTTGTCACAGCTGCGACTTTAGGTAGGTAGGAACATGGATAGTCATACAAATATAAAAAATAAGAATAACAAACTGCCTAGTAGGGATATGAGTGTGCAACATAAAAATAGCACACTCAGATTAGAAGTAATGTCTAGCTGAGTAAGTTAATTTAGAGAAGAAAAATGTGCAGAATATGCATAGATACATACAGATATACAATATTATTTACTGCAGTAAGACGGGAACTACTTCAACACATTTTTACTGAAGTAAAAGTGAAAACATCCATGGAAAAAATGCTCAAGAGTAACAGAGTAATTGGTAAAAAGGCAGCTTCAGTACTGAGTAACTCTTAAAAAATGAGTCATTTAATATTTCAAAATTACATCATCGGATGAACCAAAATCTAAAGATATGTGGACATTTTAGTATTTTAAAGATCAATGTTTAAAAAATTTATATAAATAAAATAATTACAAAATGAGGCAAAATAATCATTTTTCCAAATTATTTTATTTTGCCAGCATAAAACTTTAATAAAAACTGGGTGTGTTTCTGTGTCTGCTGAAGTTTTGGTTAAAACAAGTTTGTTCTTCATTCAGTGAATTTACCAACAGTGAAATTTTGCTCTAGTAAGAATAGCAATACTTCATAATAAAATGACTCGAGTAAAGGTAAAAAGTGCAGGATAGTAAAAATACTCAACATGCTTCAACATTGTTTCTGTTTTGTTCAGGGACAACTTTGTCTTTCAGAGACACTTTAAGTTCCTCCCTCTTCCAGCTCACCTCAGTCAGATGAATAGTTCATTACCGTAATGCAATGATTTGTTTTTCCGTTTCTACAGATTAATTGCTTGTGACATATTTCCACAAGCAGATCTTCTTTCAGCAGATTAAAAGTTGCACCCAGAGGTGTTTGTTTTGTTCGATGCACCTTTTGTGCTTATTTGTTCAGAAGACTGAGAGATTCTGCGGCCTCCAACAAAACAAGGAAGTAAAATGATTAGTGCTCATATGTGGGCTTAAATGAACCCGTAACGGGCTCTAATTGGACTTCTGAGGGCTGACTGGCCTCAATATCAATTAAGACTAATTAAGGACTCAACAACTGAGGGCTTCTGATTGCTCCTCGTTTCTTTTTTCTATTTCCATAACTCCCTTTTTAGTTTTGGTGGTTTAAAAAGACATTTATTTTCATCTTTCTTTATTGCATTGGTCTGCATGACACACATTTATTTTTATTCGCAACATTAACTGTCTGAAGGCTGTAAAATAGACAAATGCCAGAGGAGGTTGAAGACTTTATGAAGAAATGAATTTACAGTGAATTAATGCTGACTGTTTCCCATAAAGCGCCCTTGACAGAGAGCACATTCACAGCTGCTGCTGCAGGGCATCTGCTAATTAGGCAGCAGATAGAAACTCAAATATTTGATTCAGCAGAACTGGAGGCTGGCGGGACCGTTCTGTCGCTTTCCTCTCCGATCAGTAAAACTACATCTTAGTTAAAAGCTCTGTAGCATTGTTCGTCATGTTCAACCTCACTGACTGAAAACATTTTTTAAATAAACTTCTGTATTTTTGACTGAGGACGAATGAATGAAGTTGAGACTTTTATTGCTTTAAAATGTATTTTTGCTTGGTTTTACAGAACATAATGAAAGCTCACAGCTCTCCTTTCAGATAAGTTCAGATACACGTTACAACTGCAGTTCATTTGAGTTTGACCTCTGATGTAAATCAGAGGCTGTGGGTTTTTTTCACTTCCATTTTAGTGATTTTATTTCATTCAGTAGGAATACTTTATGGAACAACTAAAAGACGCCATGAATGAAAAGGAGCAGAAAGACGTACAAACTCACATCTGATCCCTATTCACATAAAAAGAATACTATGTTAATCTCAGGACACAGTAAATTTTATGTCAAACACACAAAAAAACAACAAAACATCAATTCATTCAAGTTTTTTTCACTTTACATTTTAACTCTTAAAAAAGAAAAACAGTTTGCATCTTTTGGAGATTTTATACAATATACCAGATCAAAATAGTTCTGTATTTTGAAATACCAGGCTTGAAAAGAACGATTTGCTATATATATTTTTAATCTATAATGTTTTGAAGTTTAGCTTGCATCCAAATGTTGGATTGGTTTGAATCCAAGGCTTCAACCAATGGACTCATCTCTTCATGTGTTATGGACTCAAACCATCTGGTGAACTTAACTACTGGAAACCAGCCGGCTGAGTTCAAAACAACTAGCATTTAGGAAACGCAGAAAGGCTATAACTGCTATTAATTCTGCTATAACAGTTTTTAAACATTTCATTATGTAGAACTATCAGAGGAGTTGCCAGGATGCTTTGCTTTGTAACTCATGGCTGCCTAAGCAAAACGTCTCTGCCATCTTCTGGTTGGTGGACATGATTTAACCCGACCTTTCAAAAAAACTAATCACCAGCAAAACTTCTAAAGCAGAATTTCAAGTTTTGATTTTATTTGCAGCTCTTGGAGCTTTTATGTTGGATTTTCATTCGGATTCTGTTCTGTTCACTTGAGCAAATCTCGTCTTACATTTTTCCACTTGCTAAAAGCCCTCTGTCCTTTTTCTGCATGTCTTTCCCTCAAACCTCCCTTTTTGGATCTTGTTTTATCTCCCTGTTCTTGCAGCCTGACGTCAGCAGTGACACATTCCTCCTCCTCTGCGGTTCACCTTCAGTCGCCTCCAACTTCACATTGTCTCCCTGCTGGTTTGCAGCCCCTGCGTTCTGTTTCTGCTCCCCACCTCACACATCTTGCACTGTGTATCTGCATCACATGCAGCCAGTACTTTTCCCTTACTCCAGTCTCATTTATATTCCTCCCTACCCATTCCCTTCTTCCTTTCTTCCCTTCTCCCTCCCTCCTTTGTGGTGTTTGCGTTGTCTGGGTCACTCTGAGCTGCTAAAAAAAGCCCTTCCCTGCACTGGGCTCTGTGGTATCATTTATCTAGTACATTATTCTTCATGCAAGCAGCTGAACACACAGCGTTGCCTTTTCATATAGGTGCTGTAATTCTACTCCAATCAAACTCAGATGAGCTTTGACTGATTCGATCAGACGAGCAGGTGATGCTTGCTGCCCCACGTGCCCGACTCGTTCTAATTTTAGCTGAGAAGCTCGGCTCTATCAAAGCTAATATCACTGAGTTACCAGAACAGATTTTTTTTTTTTAAAGTGCAAATATAACAGGTTTCTTTCTCTACAGGGATTTGTAATGTCATTGTTTTTTGCCTATGGAGTAGAAATGAACAAAGTTGACAGACAGGCCATAATCCACGCACGTTCTGCCTCACTCCTATCTTTATTTTTGTTGAAGCATGGAAAGCACGAGGATGCGCCGGTTCTGCAGGTGTTCAGGCAGTGGAAAAAAGTGGGTCATGCTGAACTCTGACAGGCTGACACGGGCTGCGCTCATCCTGTGTTCGCTGACACTATGTTTGCTTTTGAGCAAAACCTGCTACACAATACGTTTCTCATCAGCCCATCATCTAAGGATTTACAGGGAATCTCATCAGGACGGCATGCCAGGCGACAGGACCTCACAAACACATCTGTCATCTGGTATGAGAACGTGCTGCTAATTTAAGATCAAAATAAAAACTGAATCGTATTAAAATCCTCCTGATTAAAGTGAAGGAAGATTTTTCAGTCCATTTTTTGGAGCAGTTGCTTAAACACAAAGATTAATCAAATAAAGCAAATATGTTCTTCAGATTAAATTAAACACCTGAATTTGGATTGGTTTATAATTTCTTAATGTGTGACAAACAGCATGTGTCGAACTCGAGGCCTGTGGGCCAAATCTGGTCCACCGTAGCTTTTAATGCGGCCCTCTAGATTCTAGACTAAACACTAAGTGTGATTAAATATTATCAATGCAGTTTTTATCTGCTTACTGCCAAGTGATATCAATCAGTACCTCTAGTTTCTTGAGAATTATTGTGGAAATTCATGCAATATCAACAAATCCCCGCTGTTTTTTGCACTAATGCATAATTGAGTTCATTGCAGATTTTTCTCAAAAATTGTCAAAAACTTTCTTACTTTTTCAAATGTTTCCAAATTAGTACAACAAACGCTTGCAAAAAAATCGCAAAAAGAATCAACAACTCCTGTAGGGACTGAAAAGATGTTCAATAATATTATTTAATTTTAAGAATTCATTGATGTTTTAACAGTTGTGAACAGGTTTTATCAATATATTCTGGCTCTTTAAGAGCATTCATGATTCTCATTTGGCTTAAAACGAAAATGAGTTTGACACTGCTGTCTTAAAGGAACCCTGTAATTTGATGTTATTCAGATAAATGCAGTAAGAAATGCTGCTAAATTTGTTGACATTTCAACCAGAAGAGAGAATGTACCACAAGGACAAGACTGAACCCTGAGGGACTCCACAGGGGCTGGTAGAAACTTACATGATCTTGTTAACATGAACAAGGAAGTGACAAATAGGATATTAACTGCAGTGAATGGTAGTGGTTGGTGGATGGTGGAACCCAACTTGTATTCTTGACCTTGACCTCTGTTAGAAAGAAATATCCTTCAAAACATTTCTGCTGTAATCATAACTTGGTCTGTAGAGTGCAGGACTATTTAGTTGTTTGAGTCCAGACAATCAAATGACCTCAATATCACTCCGAGATTTAAAGCGGGAACACATTTACCCCTCTCATACTAGCTTTTTGACACAGATAAGCTCATTTTGGTGCAGGGTACAGCAAATTGCCCTGCTAGGCCGATGTTGGGACATGTGTCTGTCAGTGGAGGGCTACCACCAGATGGTCTCTCTCTGAGGGAACGAAGGACAAAGCTCCTGTTGCCAGGGACAATGAGGGACTATTTAAGCCTTTTATGATAGTGAATGATAGTGAACTGTGTTAAAAGCCTCACTAGCAAGTGGATAGTGATGGCGATGAGCTGAATGTGCAAATCTGCTCTGAAATATGACTAAAATGGAGATGAAAATGTCTGAATTGGCAGCAAGGGAAGACCCCTCTGCCCCAGCTGCTGCTGTGCAGTCTGTAATCCTTTGCGTGGGCGTGCCCTACATATTATACTGAGTTATAATACAGAATATAACTCAGTATTTTATTAATCATACACAACCAGCCTCTCAAAAACAAAAGTGAAACATTCATAAGCAGGGTAATGAGGTATGTCTTTTAATGGTCAAAGTAATTAAAAATAATCATAATAATTAGTTTAATTATAAAAACAACCACTAATTTACTGTCTACCTAAAGTCCAGGGTCACTTTTTCTTTTCTTTTTATTGTACTTTATGTATCTGAATATGTAATCTGATATAAATAATCATTAATTATTTTTTTAAACGCATCCTGGGTAATAAAAAAAAAATTAAATGGTGGTAATCAGTTTATTTATTGGTTTATTTTTGTTTGTTTACTTTTTATGGTAGTTTTAATCCAAGCTCTGGAAGAAGAAACAAACCCGCCCCCTTGTGGTAATTTCTGGAATTACATGCTCACTCAGAATCCAGAGCTTGTCCAGCTTTTGATTGTTGTTTGACAATTTGAGTATGCTCTAATTAGTCCAAACAATTCAAATATGTAGATTTTCTAAAAATCTACACCGATGTCATATAATTACATCACATGACAGTAAGTTGCAGCAATAGAGCCATATGAGGAAAAGTAGTGATGTCGTTGGAAATCTTTAAAAGAAAAACAAGTTTGCGGAAGCAGAATATACAATATTTAATTTCCCTTTGGGATCAATAAGGTATTTTGAATTAGAATTGAGTTAGCTAAGCAGAGATGCCATTACCACTGGGACACATTTAGTTATTGTTTAATAATAAAGGAACATTAGCTTCAATTAATCTCTAAATGTCTATTTGTGCATGTTATTCCATGCATCAACCAGCTTCTGGTATATTTCTGGCTGGATTTTGATCACTTTTCTTGCAGGATGATGAATAAAGCTCATATTCGGTAAATTAGTATGAGTTTCACTATATTCTCCCACCATATGATGATAATAAGCATGAAGTTCTGCCTGTTGATCATTTCAGTGCTAACGCTCGCTTTTCTGAGCTATTAAAACTCTTCAAAACCTTATAGAAATATTAAGCCCTCACTTCTTGGGATTGTACTTTGACTTCGTCAGAATGGCACATAGAAAATAAGAGTAGAAGCCGCAAGGAGCGTCAGGCTCGGTCCACCGCCATGTTGTGAGAGGCGATCGGTTGAGACAAGGCCCACAATCTGTCCAGTCTCCTTATTTGATTCGCTACATCTTTTTTACTTTTTGTCTCAATAGTCAACCAACAATGCACTTTCATCCACTAATATATAAACTTGGTTAGTTGGCGCTGTTGATTGGGAAAAATTGCGTTTTCCAAGCAGTCTTCAACAGATTTTGAAGGGAAATCTGCCACTTCCAATATGGCGCATGCGTTGACGTATCGCTCCAATTCGTAAACGAGGCTTCTACTCTATGTTTAAGAACCCTCACCCTGATTTACAATAGGCCAACTGGCTTGCTTGTTCATGTCACTCGGGTGCTACGGAACCAATCAGCTTCTTTCAAGCAAAGGAGGCGGGGCTGACATCACAGTAGTGCAGCTTATCCAACATGGCGCTGACGTCGTTTGCCTGATAAGCATTTCTAAGTTTCGTCAGTTCAGTGGCTACGAGTTTGAGGAGAGTATATTTAGGCATATCGCCGAGTTGAAGTGGCATCTGTTTGCAACTTGAAATGAAAGGGAAGGAGCGATCACCGGTGAAAAAACGCACCCGCGGGCCCGACGATGGCAGAGACCGAGGAGGAAGCTATCCGAGCAGCAAGAAGACCGCAGTTCTCTCAGCCAGCAACGGCTCCGCTCAGAGCGGCGCTTCCGCCAGAAGAGGTTTACCCAGCGACAAAAGAGACATTAGGGACTCGGAAGGACACGGCTCGTCCAGTCGGATCCCTGGCGGCTACGACTACGGGTCTTCCTCCGGGAACAAGTCGCACGGTGGCGCTGATATCGCCGCGGAAACGTCCAGGTCGGGTTCACGAGGCGAGCCGCGGCCTTCGTTGGTCCCAGGAAGTGAGTACAAGACGCTGAAAATAAGCGAGCTGGGCTCCGAGCTCAACGACGAGGAGATAGAGGACGGCTTGTTTCACGAGTTTAAGAAGTTCGGGGACGTGAGCGTGAAAATATGCCGTGAAAACCACGAGAGGGTGGCGTTCGTGAACTTTCGGAGGCCCGAAGACGCCCGGGCGGCCAAACATGCCCGGGGGAAGCTGGTGCTGTACGACCGGCCTCTGAAGATAGAGACCGTGTACATTAACCGGCGTACGAGCCGCTCCCCGGTTAGTAAAGACAGCTTTCCCTCTGGACACAGGCACCTCCACTCCCAGAGACCCCAGTCTCCCCCGGGCCCGGGTTTCAGGGACTACCGGTTACAGCAGCTGGCTCTGGGTCGACTGGCTCCTCCTCCTCCGCCGCCTCCTCCTCTGCCTCATCATCTCAGGGACCTTGAAAGAGACAGAGACTTCCCGCTGTATGAAGGCCGCAGCAGGCCTCCGTTCATCTCTGAATGCTACCGTGAGGAGGAACTACTCAGCCCCGAGGACGACCAGAGGGCCAACAGGACGTTGTTTCTGGGCAACCTGGAGGCCGGATTGACCGAAAACGACATCAGGAGAGCGTTTGAAAGGTTCGGGCTGATTACAGAGGTGGACATCAAGCGGACTGTCAGAGGGCAGAACAACACATACGGATTCATCAAGTTTGAGAACCTGGACATGGCTCATCGAGCCAAAGTGGCCATGTCGGGGAAGGTGGTGGGTCACAGTCCCATCAAGATTGGGTATGGTAAACCTACACCCACAACCAGACTGTGGGTGGGGGGACTGGGCCCCTGGGTACCAGTGACTGCACTGGCTAAAGAGTTTGACCGCTTTGGTACCATCAGGACTATATCCTACAGGAAAGGGGACTCGTGGGCTTACATCCAGTACGAAAGCCTGGACGCCGCTCATGCTGCTTGGACCCACATGAGGGGTTTCCCTCTTGGCGGCCCGGACCGGAGACTCAGAGTGGACTTTGCAGAGACAGAGAATCGCTACCCGCAGCAGCAGTTTGTGCAGCTCCCTCTCCCCGTGCCCCACTTTGACTTAGTCCAGGAGCCATTTGCTCATCGACTGGCCGAGCCGATGAGAGTGAGAGACCGCACCCCTCCAGTTCCTGGCCGCTTCAGGGAGCGGGATCCATATTCGTCTGCTGAGTGGGTTGGCCTGAATGCCCACGACAGGATGAGAGGACCAGGCTTTGACCCCATTGATCGTCTGGAGCGGCGCTGGTCAGTGGAGCGCGAGTTACAGGGCAGAGATGTGGGCCCCAAAAGGAGACATTTAGACGACGGCTGGAGAGTGGAGCGCTCTCCTGACAACGGGGACTTTGGTTTGCGGCGTCACGGCGGCTCGTTAGAGCGCAGCCCTGGGGGGAGCAGCCGGGACGGGGGACGCTACAGTGACCCCGAGCGCCTCCCTCGCTCTGGCGGAACCACCCCGGCCAAAGAGCGGCAGAACAACCATAACTCTAGCTTGGTGGAGAAACGGAAAAGAACACGCAGCCCCTCTCAGCCAGAGCCCAAACGCAAAGCTGGAGACGCGTCCAAGAGCCCAGCGAAGAAGGAACAGCGGCCAGACAATGCGGCCTCGAGCTCCTCCCCGTCCAAGCAGCCGGGCTCCGACGGGGCGAGGCTGAGACAAGCCTGGGAGGGCGTCCTGCTGCTGAAGAACAGCAGCTTCCCCGCCTCCCTGCACCTGCTGGACGGAGACATACGGATGGCCACCAGCCTGCTGGTGGAGGGCCCCACCGGCGGGAAGGTGACCCAACTGAAGATCAGCCAGCGCCTCCGCCTGGACCAGCCTAAACTGGACGAGGTCGCCCGCCGCATCAAGGCCGCCGGCCCCAGCGGCCACACCGTCCTCCTGGCCGTGCCGGGGAAATCCGAGGACGCCAACAGCTCCGCGGAGAGGCCGCTGAAGAACCTGGTGTCCTACCTCAAGCAGAAGGAGGCGGCGGGGATCATCAGCCTCCCGGTGGGGGGCGGCCGCGACAAGGAGCACAGTGGAGTCCTGCACGCTTTCCCTCCATGCGAGTTCTCCCTGCAGTTCGTGGATGCCTCTGCCAAAGCCTTTGCCAAATCAGAGGAAGACTACCTGGTGATCATCATAATTAAAGGAGCCTCGTAAAGAAAAGTGCAAATTATATGTCTTTTATTTTTATCGTTACTGTACTCTCATCTTTTTAAGTTGTGAGGAAATCCTGACATGAGTGTAGTGGAATCTGATTCTGTAGGAGAGTGAAAGTTCATTTTGTGCTGTGAAAGGTTTACTGAGAGGAATATAACAGTAAGATAAAGTATATTATATAATGGTAAACTGATGGACTTCATTGATACAGATTACATACTGGCGCTTACTGTTTTACATGTTAAACCTAGAGGGTACGCTTCTTAAAGGAACTCAGAGCAAACTACTTTATAATGAATATGATGCCTTGTGGAAAAAAAAAAAAAACAACAATTTTCTATCCAGGAAAGATTGTTTGATTTTTTTTTTCTTCTAGGCATAAATTCAATTGAGTTCTGTCAAACTGTTCAACATTTAGAGAATTCAATGAAATACGGTGATTTGTTTGTTTTGATAAGGAAAAGAAATCTAATCGCTCGTCCAGTTGCACTTGGAAATATATCTTCAGATGTGCGTTTGTATCAGTTTTCCCTGACTAAATTTCTTCACCCCTCACAGTTTTCTGATTTTTGCCAGTTTGGTTCAAGCAGAAAAAAACATTTGTCTCATGAAAAATGTGTAATTTAAACGTATAGTTCATTTTTTTTTTGTCCAAGGGAAATTGTATGAGGATATACTCTTCAACAGGGTTTTTTTTAGAGAGATTGTTGTGCTGTGATTTTGAGGAAAAACTAATAAATCTTGAGATTCTTTTTTTTATTTTTTTATTCCTCCCACGTGGGATTCAGTTCTGTGCTAGCAGGTATTTGCCTTGGAAAGTCATCTTCCGAGGCAAATAACTTTCTTATTAAGACGCTGAAGGTGTGTTGTCTGCCGGCTGTTCAAGCCCTCAGAGAGAAGAGGTCGGAGTTCACCAAAATGTTTCTTCAGCCTGAAGCCTCTTCTGAGCAGCTTCGGTGGAGAGACGCTGCCGTTGTTTGGCTGTGAAAGCATTGATAAACTATAAAGTTTTTGGTAAAGATGATTAATATCTGCTAACATAGAAGTGTGTCCCATAGACGCAGACATTTTCAGTTTTAGTTACAAATGGCTAACATCTGCAGATTTATGAACTTTTCCACAAAGTCACAGCAGTGCATCATTTTCTAGAGGCAAAGGAACTGAAGACAATTTTCTCTCCTAAAAAGTCTGAACTATTTCTTTAAGTTCTTCAAAGTTCTTTGCCTGAAACAATTATTAAGTGAAGTCCAATTATTGTGGACGACCAGAGCTGATTTGAATAGACTATTGAGCCGTGATGTGAGTTTAAAGCGTAACTTGAACGTTTTCCTTGTGTTTCTGTTCTTTAAGCCCTGCTAACACCAATAGGTGAAGAGGATGGATAGAAAAAGCCGACAATTTCTCTAAATTATTTTCAATTCTGTTTGTATTGCAAGACGTTTATCAGAAGAAAAAAAAGACCCAGAATCACTTATGTATGTCAGTGAAATTTGGCTCTTGAAAGTGATTCTTAAACGAAAATCTGTCGCTTTTTGTCTTCATCCCGCCCTCAGAATAATTTTATTGCTGTATTAAGTTTGGTTAAACATTATCCCTGCCTGCTAATGGTAACTTCTACCCCAGCAAAGCATGTGACTGTTTGACAAAATGTCGATGTAAACGATAAATGAAGATCTTTATGTGTACGATGGACGACCATTCATCTGATCTGATCTGATCTGGGAGTAGAGAGATATTACTACACTATCTGTGGACTCAAGTGAGAGGAGAGAGAGGAGGCGGCTCCCTTCCTGCCGTCGTCCGAAGAGACTTTTACTGGTTGATTTTCATGTTTTTGATTTGAGTACTGTTTTAAATGAGAAAAAAAAAAGAGGAAAGTATGTGCTGTAAACTCAGGATTATCTGGAGACAGAAGTGGAGAACGTCAATGCCGATGGGCCTAACTGTCAGACAAACACGCAGACGTGCAGCAAGCACTTGATAGATCTTGTTTTAATAAATTTGCTCTTTCGTGGGAAAGACGAGTGCCTCGGAAGACAACTTTTGTGACCTGTTCTGTTGGTTTATCAAAGCGGAGACGCTTTCACTTTGACAGCAGGAGCTTCTCCCAGGAGAGGGCGTGAGGAGGAGTGGAGGGAAGCCTCTCGGTTCTGTGTTTTCATGTCTCACAACTTTTACTCAGCGACGGCTTTCGTCGAAATTGAGAATTTGCTGTTAATGCTGTTTCGGCAAGCCCAGAGTCACCGCGTGACCTCAGTGGCCTCTGCTTTCATGGAGGTCGGGCCGAGGAGCAGAACCGGCGAACGCAGCGCCTGGCGCCATCTTCATCCGACGGGCTTCCTGTGGAAGGACAGCGGCGGTTTCACGTGCTTCCAGCCGCGCCGCCGGCGCAAAGAGTCGGTCGGGCATCTTCAGCGGCTTAAGAAGGAGCGGTGTTTGTATGGGTAGTTCTTGCTTTGGAGTTTCCAAGAGGAAGGGCCTCTGTGTTAGGGCCAGACTTCACACGCCAGACAGTGCAACAGCGCCAAAAATGGGAAAGGAAGCGGCAGGAGGAGAGGAGAGATTGCCTGTAGAGTTCAAACTTTAGTCGGTTCGTTCTTTTTTTTTTTTTTTTTTTATCTGATTCATGCACTTAAAACTGCAAACGAGAGCAAGGCGATGGGTGTCAAAAACTGCTGCTGGATCCCTCCTGCGACGCTACGCCGGAGGACGAGCAGACTGTTCAAACTGGGTCTCGGTTCTGTCTCTGGTTCTGGAGCGGAGGGATGACGCACAGCTGGCTGGACAGACGTCAGTCCTACAGGTACAGTATGGACACGACCTGAAAGCAGTGGCTGGTACGTATTAGTGTTCGAAATGACTTTAAACATGATGTTCACAACTTAGAACCTGCTAATAAGAAGGAGGTACTTCAAGCAAAGATAAAACCATAAGAATTTTTAAAAATATGTGCAAAATGATGCATAATATACTTTATTTGGCTGTAGCAGCTTTAATGTTTTGTCTGTAATGTGCTTAACACTAAAACAGGAAAGGAAATGTTTACAGTAAAGACAGAAACACAAACCTTGTTTTCAGAAAATAGTCTTAGAATAGCCAGATAATTAGCCAAACACAATTAGTCTTAGTTTCTTTTAAAAAAATACTAATGAAAATAAAATGGTAAAAATTTGATATGGGAAAACGTAAAATTATGGAATTTATGCAATCACAAAAATCAAGAAAAAGTGGACTTAAAAGATGTCTTAAAGGACATTACAGTTTGATTTCAAATAAATACGAACATATCTCTGTTTTAATTTCAACATTTGGCACTTGACGGGTTTTAAGGGCTCACACAGATGAAACAAATCTGATAACAAGAACGAGGACCATTTAGAGTTTGATCAATAAGTTAACAGGATCCTAAAAGTCCTGAAGGCAGCAGACTTTAAAATTGGTCCAGTGTAATTTTCTGGTTTTATTCACTGTGATTGCAGCTCAGATTTGCAGCAAATCAAAAATACACCATGTTCCAAATTATTATGCAAATTGGATTTAAGTGTCATAAAGATACAATTTTTTGTTGTGCTATTAAATGAATAGATGGTACTGTGTGTCAGGGCTCTTTGAGTCACTATAATTAATTTCAGAGAGCTGGTTGATTAGTTTGTCTGATGAGCTCAAAGAAAATCTACTTAAGAAGGATGCTCCACATTATCAAGCAGGCATGACAACGCACCATCTCATGCTGCAAGGAATGACAAAGGGCTGCGGTCACCATGCTCCTCTGACCTCTGACCCCATTGAGAACCTTTGGAGTATCAGAAGATCTGAAGGTGGGATGCAGTTCATATCAAACCAGCAGCTCTGGGAAGGTTTTCTGACGTCCCGCAAAGAAATTCAAGCAGAAACTTTCCACAAACTCACAAGTTCAATGGATGCAAGAATTGTGCAGGTGATGTCAAAGAAGGTCCTACGTTAACATGTAACTCCGTCTGTTAAGATGTTTTTGATTGAAATAGCTTTTGATTTTAATACATGTAGCCACTTAATGCTGCACATTCAAAGAATGACCGTTTGCAGTTCTTTATCATCCATAAAGTGTTTAGAAAATCTGCTGTGCATAATAATTTGGAGCAGTGCATTTTGAGTTTTTTTATTTAAAAATACTGTTCTCCGGGGAGCTTTGTTCAGTAAAGTTTGATTTGTCCTGTAATAGTTCATGACTTGAAAATTATACTGACCATCATTTGCATCGACCGTTCAAGAAAATCAGAGAAAATGTCACTTGCATAATAATTTGGAACGTGGTGTATTGGTTTTAGAAACCTCAGAGGAAAAACAAAAATACTGCAGAAAACAGAGTGGAATAAAATAATATAAATATCCTTTATTGCAGGATATGGAGGATAGTTCAGCAAATACTCGCACAAAGATTATAAAATAAATAAAAACAGTAAAAAATAAAAATACTGAGGTAATAAAAAATAGTGCACTCTTTTCCAGAAGAATTTGCAACTGAACAAGTTGATAAATTGAAATATTTAGGCCTGTTTTAGCATAAAAATGAGACAATATTCAGAATGAGCACAGATACCAGCCTGGATGCGAAATGAAAGCAGTTTAATGTTTTGCCTTTCCTCTCAAACCGGTGAAACGGTGTAATCCTGATGAGCCTCTGCTGCATGTCTGGGCAACAGAACTCCAAAGTTTTTGTTATGTTATCAACTGTCAGCCCTTTCATCCTGACAACGTGTTTAACACGTCTTTTCTCCATGAAATTACCCGTACGTAATCATGCTTGGTAGGTAAGTTGGTCATTTATTGTTAGTTTATTAAATTTTATTTTTTATGTAGGTTTCTGAACTTGCAGATACCTTCACAAATGACACTTTAAATCAAACATTTACTTGCAGAAAAAATGTTTTGAATCCCTGTCAAAAGTCTTAGTAAAGCACAGTGAAATTAATCTTAGTTTCGGATTATCTATCAGCATCACTAAAGTGTTTAGAATTAAAAAATTCAAACATTGAGTCATTTCTGGCCCCTAAATGACATTCTGCAGGGACTATTTTGGAGCTTTAAATGTTAGATCTTTAAGGACAAGAACTGCTAACGCAGTTTGTCAAAGATGAACAAGAAACTGTTTTTTGTAGAGATCAGATAACCAGCGGCCCACCGAGTGACGGAGTTACTGACATGTTGCTGCTGCAGATCCTTAAAGATTTCAGATGAAAAGTCCTCGCCTCGTGGAACAAACAAGAGCATCAGAATAAGACAGTAAGGCGAAGGAGTTTGCTTTTCGTGTTTCATAATGCTCACTGTCTTTCTCTGCACTGAGCTGCGTGTGATTGAGATGACCTGCAGCGTGACGGATCAGCGGCTGACGGACGTCGTATCCACTCTGCTGTTAGCAGCGGGGAGTAAGCAGTGTGTCAGTCGTATCACTGCAGAACTGAGGATGAGCCGGCAGCGAGAATATGGAGGCCTTGACCTGACAAAATCAAGAATAAATGCAGAAATAAGTGGCTGAATTGGATTATTACTATGGACAAAAAAAGAATTTATTTTTTATAAGATTTTACTGTTTTAATTTCTAACTCTTGCAATTCACCTCAGTGCTAGTATAGCTGAGGTCATTTTGATTATTTTTTATTAATTTCTCTGTTCATTTCTGTTTGTTTTCCTTAATTTTTTCTTATCATTATGTGATTAATTTTGCAATGGATTTTGTACATTTGACTCACTTATTATAATTACTGTATTTTTTGAGTTCTGTGTTTATTCTTCATAACTTGATAACTGCTTCTCAGTTTAAAGCCTGTAGTTGTTTACTTTTCAGTTGCTAATGAAACATTTTTGTTCTTACTTGTCTCTGTCTCTGCCCTCATCTGCTGAATGTCTGTAAACTGATTAACCTTTTTCTCTGTGACCTCTCTTTTAGAGACTCCAGCTAAGTGGAAGTTAAACTCCTTAATTAAATTTCTGAGTGTTTTAGATCACCTCTCCACATGATGACTGGAAAGAAAGAAAAACCATCTCCACCCATGAGAGCTATTCAATTTTCACACTGCTGCAGTGTGAGGACTTCCTCAAGCAACCACAGCGAACTGCACTGGTGAGTATGAGGTAAAACTTCGCACAGTTTATTTATCTACATGGATTGTATTTACCTTTATTGTGCAAAATGTATGACTTGTGCTTGAATAAAGGCATTTTTTTGGGGAAAATACTTGCTTATTTTCTTGTCTGATTTATTGAAAATGTAAGATTACTTGCGGCTTTCATAGTTAAAGCAGGTTTGAGTTTACTTTTTTAAAAATAAAGCAGTAGATGTATTGTTTTACTGTAATGCCTCAGATGTGCAGCACTTTGAAAAAACGTAACTTTTTCACATTTTGTCACATTGCAACCATAAACGTCCAAATATTTCATAAAGATTGAGAAGTCAAAGGAAAACCATGCACCGGTTTTAGAAATGCTTACTTTGATTTATTTTTTTTCAACCCTCCTGAGTATTGTGTTGTTTATTTCTATCAGTTTTATGCACCTAGAATCTGAAAAGTCTCAATTATTTCTGAGCCTCTTACCAGTTTTTATTACATTGAATATTAATAAATCACACTCGTATTTGGGAGCTAAAACGTGTTACTCAGGTCAAAATCTGTCACTAGAAGCTAGAAGTTTCACGACTTACTTCACTACAGGTTAGTTACTACAAGCCTATGACTTGAAGAGTTTCATCAATTATTTTTAAAGGTTGGTAACTCTTTAAGCAGAAAAAAGAGAGAAATATTTACTTGCTCTATTTGTACTTTTCCTTCCAGAAGAGATGTTTATAATTTATTGTTTTCAAAAGGTGTTAACTTTTATTAAATTTGAGGTTCTGTTTGCACTTTTAATATGCATCTTATTCTAAGGTTTCTGCTTTAATCTGAAAGGCCTTATATTTATTTGTTCCGGATTACTTTTATATGTAGTAAATAGCTAGGTGTTTACTATAAAGTGCCACTTAACAGTGGAAATGTGAATATACTGATAGGAAAGACAACAAAAGACAGAACTAAAACTTTCTGACCTTTTACTAGGAGGAAAGTTTAGTAACTGGACCTCTGAGTTTTAATTGACTTAAAACAAACCCCTATTTTGTGCTGAAAAGTTACTTTTCAGGGTTGATTTTTTTTTAATTTGTCTAATTTCAAGTGTACTAAGATATTTGCACTAGAAACTAGACCAAACATAATTGGTACAATTTTGTTTTTTTTGCAGTGGCTGTAATGTAACAAATGTGAAAAAGTTCAAGAGCATTCACATTTTTGTAAGAATGTGGTTTTATTTTTCCTACTCATCTGGGTCAAAAACTCAACAATCAGATGATTGATTAGGTTAGCCAAGATATTCAGACAACAGGGGTTTTTATTTTTTATATGGCCACTAGGTGGCAGAAGAGGCTCTGAGCTGCATTTTGATGCACTGCACAGTCACTTCATCATTCATGTGAATCTCCAGGGAGGGGCCCGAGGAGAAGATGAGTCATCTCACTCTGAATTCAGTCCTTAAAACACAAACATTCATTGTTTGTGTTTTAAGGACTGTCTTACACCGATACCATCTGGGTTTTTTTTAAAGGCAGCTGCATTTGTTCTAATAATAATCTTTGATTTTATTTCTAAAAATGGGCAGCATTCATCTTCCAAGGTTAAACACCTTCTATAAATATTTCTATTAGTTTGCATTATATTTACTGCATGCTTTATTTATTATTGCACTGTTCTCCTACACAGCTGGCTGATTTTACATGCACTGACCAGCAACATGAGGAACGTCCTGGTTGTTGACCACATCAATCATTCATCCACCAGAGCAGCAGGAGATGTTTTACATTGTCCTATCTGTCTCAATGACAACTGTAGTGAAAAATGAGCTTATATTTAAGTTCTTCACAAATCTGCAGCAGTGTTAGGCGAGCTAACAGTGTTTTCAGTATGGAAGGAGGCATTTACATAATGTCAAACATTAGGGACTCAAATCACTTTTCTGTCGAGCTGTAAGAGAAACAGAAGCTTGCACGGTGCGATATTATGATCAACAATCCGAATAAGGCTAAAAACCCAGCAGGAATGAATTGTTGCCAGAAGCGAGTCCGTTTCAAGGGGCAACAAATACGACTCCCGGTTTCCGCTCTGATAATCTGCGTGGTCTCTTATTTCAGCCTGAAATGAGCAAGACTATCTGCACTGTAATACAGAAACATGAAGCCAGCACACTAAAGGAAGCCTGACTGTGGTTCAGTCAAAACAAGCTCTACAATATGAAACAAATGCAGGATCTCTGCTTTATCTTCTTTTGACTGAAATACCAAACTGAAATGTTAAGAAGTAATCATCAACAAACGCACGTGTTCAGTACTAGAGATGATGCTAGTTAGGAAAAAGGATGCACATTTGGAGGAACATAAATCATTGGAGGAAATAGTTCAACATAGGAAATGCAAAAACTGTTTTTTTTTCTTGATGTTTTAAAACCAATGTAGAAATTAATTGAACCCTTCTTTGCAGAAGGGCTGTTAGTGCTGGCTTGTTTCAGCATACTGCAACATCCAGGCACACAGAGTAAATGACTGAAGGATAAATGTAAGAAGAACAGCAAAATCAGGGCGTCTAAATTTATCAGATTCAGCATCTATGCTTATTGGCTGGGCAGAAAAGCCCAATGCATGAAGGCACCCTGCAACTTTCACGGCTTAAAGGATGTGCAGCTCATGGCCTGGTGCCACAGACTGCAGCAGACCTTCAGAGCTCGAGTGACGTCAGGCTGATGGACCAGGAAAAGAAGGAACAAAGAAAAACCTAAAGCTTTTTTATTAAAGCAGTTGGTGTTGTTCTTCTGTGCAGACTGCTGTATTGATACAAATTATTGAAATTAAAGTAATACATTTAACTTTTGAGATCACAAATGTGTTTTGAAAACAAACAATGCTTGAAATGTTTTAGGAATTCAACTCTGTAAGTTAATGTTGGTAAACAGTGAGTAGAGTTTTGTATTATTTTCATTTGATTGACAGTTAAAGTATGTTATTCGAAGTAAGATCTCTTGAATATTTCTACAAATTTACCATCTCCAATCATCATTTTCTTTACCAGTCATTAATAATTTGATGTCATTATTGTCGATGTAACTGTCTAAAACCTTTAATATTTTGAAAAATGAGCAAGTTTTGTAAGTTTGTCGGTTTTTAGCTGTGTCACTGAGCCACGAGGTGTGTGCGTCGGCGACTGGCGAGCTGCTATTTCTGACCGTGTTTATGAGAGTCCTGGCTGACTGGATTGGATTATTTGCTCAGGGCTGGTCACTAATGGCCAAAAGCATTCAGTGGACGCAACTCACTTTCAGTTTGTTTCCAGCAGGCCTTCAGGAGCAACGAACTATCGTGGACGTAAGAGCTACATTTGTGTTGTCCAGTCAGAAAATCAGACTGAAATAAATCCAATCACACTGAGATGGAAAGAGGTTGAATAATCTGCTCATACTTCTCAGAGTAATGGGTGGAAACGTTTCCTTGGGTTAATACTTTGCTTACGTTACATGTAAATTTGGTCATATTACTTCGGTTTTCTTTTTCTACAGCAATTTCTGGCTGTTGCCGAAGCCCCTTTAATCATCCAGAGCTGCATTTTTTTAGTATTCACGGCTTGCAGAAACACAGAGCAATAGTTGTGTTTTCATGACGACCACAGACAAAATTTTGTTGATATTCTGCTAATGTTGGAAAAACACACTTTCGCAATTGCAGCGTTTCCATTAAATAACAAACGAAACTAAAATCATGCGAATAAGTTGTTAAAAAACATGCCATGTCATGATTCTTCAACCACTTCCTGTCGTCTCCTCCGTCCCTCCCGCCGGTAGTAACTTCCGGTTGCTGATCACGTGACTCATGTGACGTGTTTTCGTTGCAAGTTTTGCGAAATAAATCGAGACTCCAAATAAAACACCTTCAAAAATACAGAAAGAAAATCTGATCTGATGCAATCAAAATCCGTTTTAAAAAACATGAAATATTTATTTCTGCGCTCCCTCTTAGTTATCCCTTAGTTCTTCTTTTGTTTTAAATGAGACAAGTTCAGTCAACTTCAATGAATTACAGCCATCTTTAATAAAACATAAAATAAGCACAGTGGTGATAGTAATGCTTCTGTTGCATAAGTCAATTCACTGGAACTTAAAAAGTATGTCAAGTATGTGCTTCACAAAAGCAAAGGCCTCTGTTAGTGGAAAAAGACACATTAATATTTAAAATTTAATCCCAACCATATATGACAACATTAATCAAGTTAGTTAAATTGCATAAGAAACAGCATACATTGTGAAGAATAAAACAAAGCAACAGGAATGCAACATAATGCATCAAATCTGAACTGCTAATGCTGATTATTAAGCTTTGCCTTTTTTTGCATAATATGAGCATCTCAGTTTCAGAGCTGCACAGGATGAGATCTCTCCTTTCTTTGCTGCCATTGGATGCCATTTGTTCTCATGCGGTTTGTCTATCAATAGCTATCAACAGCCTCTGTGGTCCTAAAAGCATTTCAAGTACTTCCGTTACAAATGCAAACAATAACTCAGATGCCCATGTTCTTCAGTGCACAGCAAATGTACTTGATTCATGATAGATTTCAGGCATTTATAAAGGATTTTTATTTCATCTGCATACAGTGTCATCCACACTTCTTGGCAAATATGTGTATGAAACGTTAAAATAAAATCGGCTTTGACGCACGTCACTCTAAAAGTTTCCGGTCTTGATTCTGTGTCTGGTGAAAGGTTACTGTGCTGATCTGGTCACATGTTTTTGGATCATTGTCTTTCTGAAAGAATCATTGAAAGCTAAATTTCGGTTTTCTGCCTGAAGCCAGCAGTCCTGGTATTTCAGAGTGATGAGGCCTTTGTTTCTCCTCACACATCCTGGTTTTTTCCTGACTTTTCTCGGCTCTATCCCATTAGCTTATGGCCTCGTTTCTAGTACAAACATTTCACTTATAACTAGTACTTTTCATCAATAGTAAGTAACTTTTGATTTAATTCAGGATCCTATCTTACTTTTCTCTTAGTTTTGTCTTGTTTCAAGTGCTCTAAGATATTTTGGTGTTTCTGCAGTGCTTTGATTTTGTTTTTCCCACCACAGGAACACGGGAGCTGGCAGACGCCGCCTCGTTGTCTGCTAGTCATCCTCGCCTATTGGATTCAATCTTCCGTTCTCACTTTCCTGCATGTCCCCGTGCCCGAAGGCGAATCCTGCGGCCTCCGCTCCCCGCTCTCCGTGTGCCAGAGGGAGGCTCACGGTGGAGGAGTGGAGACTCTCCCTGGCTTCGTCCTTCTCTATGTTCCCACCTGAGCAAAAGCTGCAGCAGTGGGGCGTGACGTAGAGGTAGACCAGGATCAAAACTACGCTGATCACACATGCCCCCAGGGTGGTGTACGCTGTTTTTAGATCGTCCAGTCCGCCCCTCTTAGTGGAGTTGAACACCACCACGGTAATGTGGAGTGTGTCACTGAGGGAATCGTTGGTGGCATAGCAGGTGTAAACCCCGGAGTCTTCCACCTTCAGCGGCCCGATTTTGAGAGAATTGCCATTTGAGACGGTGGTGTTGTTTGCAGATATGTTTCCAGGCAGCACCCACCTCTTCGCCATGTACTTCTGTTTGGTGTCGCAGTCGAGAACGATGGTCTCCTCCAAGTAGCCTTCTTTCTTCAGAATCTTGACTTCACTGCAGTTCAGCTTCAGGATTTTTTCAATCTGTTTACTTTGCCTGTTACAAGTGTGGCTGTCTGCGAAGTCAGACACAGGGCTTAGCTTCCTGAGGTCCCAGGAGGCCACCAGGTCATGCAGCTTACAGCTGCATGTCAGAGAGTTGTTGTGGAAGTAGACACCGTTCTTGAGCCAGCCGCGCATGGCCTGCAGCTCCTTCACTGGAAGATCTTTGATCTTATTAGAGGAAACATCCAGCAGTGTGAAAGGAGAGTCCTCCTTGCTCCGTTCCTTCAGCACCTCCAGAGGGAAGCGTGAGATCTGATTGTGGCTCAAGTAGAGCTTCTGCAGAGCGATCATGCTGTGGAAGGCAAAGCGGTCGATTTGAGATATGCAGTTGTTGAACAGCAGAAGTATTTCGAGTTTTTCCAGCGGCTCAAAGATGAACTCGTCCATGAAGGTCAGGCGATTGCTGGAGAGGTCCAGGTAGCGAAGCCTTGCTGTGTGCAAGAAGGCCTCAGAGGAGAGGAAGGCGAGGTTGTTGTTGTTCAGCAGTAACGTCTGCAGCTGTTTGAGGTCAGTCGACATCCATGTAGCACGGAGTTGATTGATGGAGTTGAAACTGAGGTCCAGAACTACAGTATGCTGAGGAAAGTCGAAGGTGGCGTCAGTTAGACTCACATTAGAGCAGCTGATGATGTCACTAGCACACACACAAAGCTTTTGGTGGTCCTGTGGCTTTCTTTTTAGCAGCCTATTAGCTCTAACCACAGGAAACACTAAAGCTAGAAGCAGAAATAGAATGAAGCATCTTTTTGACATCATGTTGAGATTCTTTCTGCCAGGTCCTGATTACGGTGTCCCAGGGTCCAGAGCAGATTCTGGGGGCTGTGAAGACAAAACAAACAACATGTATTAAAATAGCTAAGTTCAAAATGTTGCAATGGGACATAATGTGATGAACCAACACAAGCCTGAGAACAATTCTGGAACAGAAGGAATATTTTTTTATAGTTGATGTTCTGACAAAGCTTTTTTCCAAACAATGTCAGATTTGCTTATTACTGTGCAGAAGCAAACTCACTGACTGGATGTTTTGACGAACAGAAGACATATCTTGAGTAAACCCATATTAAATCAATGCTGGTTCTACAACCTCAGGGAGTTTAAGGACATGCCACGTGATGCACTTGTTGCAAACATTTTGATTTGCTAAAGAGTATGAAAGCCATCATTTTCAAATGGTTTCCATTGGTCTATCACATAAAATGCTAATTAAAAACATTGAAGTTTATGATGATTGTAACGTGAAAAAGACATTTTTTGTCAAAGATTTGATCAAAACAAAGGAGGAGATGCCACTTCACTATGAGTTATTGTGAAGCTGGATACAAAGTGGTGGAGCGACAACAAAAAAGTTGTGCGCAGTCTGCAAATATCTAATCACTAATACACAAATAATGATTAAAATGACAAGATTATCACTGTGTCAAATGAAAAAATAAGATTATTACATGCAGTTTGCTCCGGCTCACTATCCTTTCAGTTTTCCTTGCAGAGTGATAAACATTTGTCCCGTTGGACGGGGTGCCGTCCTCCTTTACCTTCAGCCAGTGTGATCAGGAGTCTGTGCTACAGGACGGTCTCATCCTCTTCCTCTCCAGCAGTGAGCAGCGGGGCTCAGCAGCCTCATCTGTCAGTCCGGCACAGAGAAGAGCGGGGTTTACCGAGCACACCAGACCTCCTGGGGGAGAAATGCAGCCGGCTGCTATCCGATCCGAGGGGCGTGAACAGCAGGGGAGCGGCTGGGGCTCCTCCCTCCTCCGCTCCTCTCTAATGTCTCAGTCACGTCACTTTCAGGCTAAAATGACATTTATCAGACTAGAGTGTCTAGAAAGGAACAGGGTGAAAAATGTTCCACTTGTGCGTGAGAAAATCTGCGTAGATGCAGCACCATGAACTGATATCATGAGATATCAGATCATTTTTATGGGTGGAAGTGAGTTTTTATCACATGAACTAAAACAACCACAAAACCCAAGTAAAAGCTGAAACTTATGTGCAGTTCTTTAAAATTAATCACCAAGGATTATTAAATTATTTTGAATTTGTGATTAAATAGTTTAGTTTTATTGTTTAATATCTAAGACTTTTTTTGGTAGCTGTGCAGAAGGTCAGGACAAAGACGCTGTGCACAACCTGCAGCGGTCGTTAAAACGAGACGTGAGGAGCATGCAGAGCCTGATGCGATTTCAGCATCAGGAGCAGGAACGCCATGCACTTCATGAGTCTGATCAAATCTGGCACAGGTCAACGTGGGGTTGGAAGCATGATCAGCTAAAAAAATTAAATAAAATAAAATAAATATAGGAAGCAAAGAAAAGATGCAGCAAAACGTGACAACTAATTTCACAAAAACCAGAGCAGCATCGCTCCAGCTCTTTATTGATTTTCTTATTAAAAAAGTTAGAAATGGGATCATCTTAAAGGGGCAGCGTCAGTGTGTTTTCCAGGCACATAGTGCCATTTTACAACACAATCAGGTAAATATATGTACATTTCAGTTTATCTAATAATGCTGTACACATCAAATATGACTTAAAAGAATTTTTAATTTTTTAACTTTTTGACGTGGCTCCTCTATTAACCCTTTAATAAGGTTTTCACCAGTTGCACCAAGAAGTAGCTCAGAAGATATACAGCTCTACCAGGTGTTGGTTAATTGCTCCTTTTTTTGAAGTAGCTCAGAGGAGGAAGCTTGACTGCTGGAAACCTCCAGGTGACGAAGACAGGTGTTTTGCACAGCTGGATGGTTGCCATGGAGATTGAAGGATTTCTCAAAGAATCAAGGGAAAACTGCAGGTATGTTTCTGATGAAGGAATGACATTATGACATGATGTAAAGTTAAAAAAAGATGACTTTACATAATGTTGCTCTAAAAAAGCTGAAAACGAAGAAAGTGTAGTTTCTTCTGTTTTGTTATTTCTTGCAAATAAATAAAGTATTGAATTAAAATGAGTGAATTAATCATAAATGAATTCATCATTAGTGCTGCTAATGGTTACACATTCTTGTAATGTGTGGGTTTGGGTAGAACGCTATATTTTATTTATCAACCTGTTTTTCTGTTATTTTTTCCAAAGCATTGATGAAATATATCAAAACCACCATCATACTATAGATTTTATTGACTAACATTTCTATGACAATAACTTTATTACTGTGTTAAATTATGTTTTGACATTTTTATAGCTGTAGCTATGACAAAATCATAAAAACTTTGAAAGTCAGTGATTTTGAATAGAATTGCTGAAAGAAATATTACTTATTGAAACAAATGAGCTTTATTGTGAAAGCCTATTTTATTGATTTGAAATAATTATGATTATAAAATGCAGGAGTTTTGAAAATAGTGCGGGATTTTGTTGTCAGTAAATAATATCACATACAGCTTGTCATAACCTGTAAACAAAGAGAAGAATGAAAGGCAGCCATGTTGTCTTTAAATCAGCAGGATCGTAATTGTTCCCGCAGCTTTTGACTCTTTTGAATGAGAGCAATGTTTTGCCGTAACGCAGTCGCGATCACAATGTGCTGCTGTCTCCCGGGAGTTGTGATTTTTAGCTCTGCAGCTGTCACAACAGCCTTTTCACTGAGCTGCTGTGGTTTGATCTGCACTGAGCTTTGGAGGATCAGATGGGAAGGTTGATTTAGACGTTGGACTGATTTTTGTTTTTGCTGTGAATTATAAATGAGGAGCCGCCGGGGGTCACTGGGGCCACCGGCAGCAGGTAATGCGGTTACATCCAGAGACGCCCAGTGTGCATTGGACCATTAGCTTAATGAAAATAAATGGAGACGTGATTTAAACACTTTGATAAATTGAAGGTGATCAATACTTTGTTTTCATTATGCATAAACTGTTGGTATACAAGTAAAGCAACAACCTAAAGCACTCCAGACGCGTAAAAATGGATGCAATTATTGACATAAATTTAATTAAACTTACTATGCAAAAAAAAAAGAAGAAGAAATTTCTAATTTACGTATCTATATCTATACAGATGTATTGCTTCTGGATGAATTGTTGCCACTTATTTATTAGATTTTTTTTAATACCATTTATTTCTTTGAACTCTTCCTCCAGTTTATTTTTAAAGTATATTTGGCTGTGAACACAAAAGTTTGACCTCAGTCACACGAAATAAGCCTAGATTTTGCTGTAACTCAGTTTTTTTCTTGGGATTTGGTTTGTTTTGATCCATGTGAATACGCATAATTACTGATTTATACGGTGAAATTCAGGCGACCGTAGATGTCTGTGTTTCACCATAAATTAGAATTAACGTTGTAGTTAAAGTCGAGCTAATTCCCAATAAATATGATCTCAAGGTTCTTTAGAAAAAGTAATGTAATTGGACTTGACCTGTGCAGAAAACGAGTGAGGCAGCAGAGGTGCTCTAAGTTCTCATGTTTTTGTTGCATTCTGTTTAAAAATGTTTGAAGAGTCTGTGACAAATTTGCAAAGCTACTTCTAGGAGCTAAATATGTGCAAGTCTACGTTTGAGTGTCCTTCTGGGTCTGAACGTAGACAGAAAGACAGATCGGCTGCTGAGCACATCGTGTCTCGTTGTTATGCTGTTTCCCCACATTTAAATAATTAGAAAATATTTTTTCTTGATTTAATTCTTGATAACAAAGCAAGCAGGAGGGGACCACACTGAATTCCCTTCTCTCTGCGACAAAGACTTGTAATTTGTAATCAAAACGATGTAGCCACTTCATCCTTGCGTCTTAACACTTGCAGGCTGATGCCAACACCTTTTGTGGTCAGATTGACGGGGTATTACCTTGAGAGGTTACCAGGGCAACAGAGAGACACAAAAGACAGACAACCGCACTCAGGCATGGAGAAGTTATCTAACATGTGTGCGACTTGTTTGTGCACAGATACAAGAAAACTCTAAACAGACTGAGATGAAAACCTGGACCTTTTTATAGATAATCAGCAGTGCAAGCAGCTGCAACGACATTCAGTCGACTGTCCAATCACGTTAACCCAAATAGTTCCTGGTATTTTTGTCATGAATCCTTTTTTTTGACTTACAAAATGTTTGGATAAGACTCCAAATTGGTCTGTCATTTTTTCAACACTTTGAACGAAAGTTATGAATGTTACATGTTATGACTCAAACATAATTATATGCTTGAGTCATGAGGAAGCAGAGGTCAAAAACTTCATGCATGTATTTTAAGAAACTTGAAATATAAGTGGGCGCTCCTCTGATATTCTGCATCACACTGCTACACACATGAGAACAGTCATTGTAAGGTAATGTGGGGTGATTTTATCTGTTCAGCACATTTTGAACAACAAGGCAATTCAAAGTGCTTTTCATGGATTAGAGGAAACACAAGCAAAACAACAGAAACAAAACAAAAAGTGCTCCACAATTTATAAACTAATAGGAGTTTCTCTGGTTAAACTAATAGAAAATAAAACAAAATTTATTTCTAATTCTTGCTCTGGATTGAGAGAAGTATGAAACTAAATGTTTCTAAACTGCATTTTTTAAAAACATTTTTATAAAAGCCTGAGAAAACAAATTCAAATTGACCATATTAGGAACAGTAAGTAATTATATTTTAATAATCTGAATTGATACGGAGTTCTGTGTTCATGGTGAACTGAATACACACAGACTTTGAATAAATAAATTTATTATGAATATTGAAAAGAATACACCCATTCAGTCTTAACAAAAAATAAATAAATCACACCTTGTTTAAGAGAAACGGCATATTTAAAGCATGCTGGGTGTCTCGTCATGTCTGTGTAACACGATGATGATATATCAGAGGAGTTCATCGAGCCAATTACTGTAAACTCTTATTACATTGATTTCACTGGACAGCTGCTGCTGCACATGGTACAATACAGCGGACACACTGCCACCATGTGGTCAAACCTGTAAGTTCAATGCCTGAACTTACAGGCTGCTGCTGTTTCCAATGGACTGGTATTGCACCAGTAATACCAAACAATCCAAAATAAGCCAAAACAAAACAAAATAAACTCATGTTCCATTTCTCTTAATGGCTTCATGTGGTAAATAAATTCACTGAAGTGCATTCAGTGAATTTACTTTAAGGCATTACTTTCAAAAGTAAAGAAAAACTTACACAGTTAATGTTCTGATAGATATTAATGGGTTCATCAAGTGAAGAAATTCAGCTCAGCAAAGAAACACAGAACCTGCAGTTTGTGAAATAAGCACACATATTAAATGTAATCAATTTCTACTTTGGACTTTATTTAGGAAACAGACAAACACAGGTCAGGTATTTTCTATGGGAAAGAAAAACAAAAAACACAAAGTTAATGGAGGTTTAATCTAAGAAAGAGATTCGGCTGAACACAGAAGCTCTGGTCCAGGAATGGTGCTCAAAAGAAACAGGACTAATAACTATTGATGGCTTTATTCAGGAAAAAAACACCACTCAACGTAGAAGCACTCAGCTAAGAGTTATTTCTATGGGAACACAAAAAGGCATATATAAACAAAACTTTAGATATGACAAAAATAGACTCTAAGGTACTTTTATTCCAGGTTACTAGTTTGTGATGCTTTCACATACAATTAAAACTGAATGAGTTATGAAGGCAAAATGGTCAGGTTTTGGTTCAAAGACCAAAATTAACTAAATAAGGGTTCTGAGTGAAGTATTCACAGCCGTATTACTCAGACAAATATGATATAAACTGGAAAAGTTAACCATTTAGACCAGAAGCGACTCTTTCACCTAGTTCAGTTGTCTCTGACTTATTTCTAGTTGTTTCCAAGGTACTGATAAAAAAATCCTAACATATTTGACTTTCTCTTAGAGGAAAAAATCCCTTTCTCTCTAAGAGTCTCCAAGGCAACATTCACCACTTTATCTCCTGAACCATCACTCTAACACATTTTTTCTTACTTTTAGAAGTCGTCTGATAATGAGACGTGAAAGGTTCTCCTCCGACATTTGTAAATATTCTCTCCTTCGCTGGTGTTGGCGTTCGAGCAGCTTGACTGAGCAGCCTCTCTGTGCTTTTTGCTTTTATGTTATTAAACACAAAGCCGGTTAATGTTTGCCCTAATGTTTAGCACACCCCATACTGTAAGTGCATTTGAATTGGAGCTGATTGTTTGTGTAGGAGGCGGTAATTATGTTTTGGTAAATGTAATGGCATGACTTAATTTCTGAGTGCTGCTGTTGTTTTGCATGTCCGTGTCTGTGGGTAGTTATTATTGGCAGTGGAGGCTCTCTGGGGCTTTTGCAGCGTCCTTTTGCTATTTCTGAGTGCGAACGTTGGAGTCTATTTTCAAGGCTGCCATGGAAACCATTGTATTTGTGGTGGCAGTGATTGGTGCTGCCGGCCGAGCAAGACTGTGCTATTTTTGTCGCGAGTCAGCACCTGATACACACACACACACACACTCTCACATGTGCACAAACACACACAGACACCAGCCTGGATACTGATGCTAACTTACAGTTTGACTCACACAATGCATTAAAGTCACACTGCATAGCCACAGTGGGTCTTTTCTCTCAGACTTGCTGTTTCTGAGGCCTTGTGTGCGTTTCTAATTTTTTCTTAGTGTTACGAGATACTTGATACATCTTCACCATGACAACAGTAGTAAGTGAGCGCTGCCTCTTTAACCTACACATCCGTAAGCAGCATGTTTTCTCATATTATGAAGTTTCTCGATTAAACCATCTGCAGGATTGTGCACAATGGGCTTCTTGTCAAGTCATAGTCCGAGGTTAACTCTAATAGCGGAACTTGAAGGTTCTGAGAAACAATGATTTATACCAGAATCAACGGAAAGCTGCAAAAAAAAGTTAGTGTAATTTTTTTGAGCGCTAAAGAATTACAGACATTATCGATCAAAAGTGCTAAATTTTTAAAGCTTTTTTTAAAGTGAAAGTTATGCAGTTTAATGTGTCATTGTAAATACAAGAACAAGTCAGCCATTGGTGTTCAAAAAAGAAACAGCAGCACTGAGGCAAGATAAAAACTTACATTATAAATATGGCAGAAACATTTTTAAAGGAGTAAATTAAATGTGCAAATAACAGTTTATACTTCTGAGTATTTTCATGAATTTTAAGTGGAAATGCAGACAAGGTTGTCCTAATTTTAATTATTTTATTGGATTATACAGACAAATTGAAAAAGATTTTAGTTGATTTTCATAATCTAAAATTCTCAGAATTTTTAAAGTTGATATGAAATATTTCCATGTCTAAAAATTTTAAAAACACGCAGAGGCTGTCGTCGGGTGTTGCAATGTTTTCACGGCTTTGAACATCAAAATCAAAACGTCAGTCACCTTGTTACACAATTTTTGAACCAGAAAGAATAAATTTATTGTTTTCTCCCTTGATTAAAAGCTACATGATTGTGTTATACAGATTTGTTCAGATATTTTTAGATAAATGATTTGAAACTGAATTCAAATTTAACATACAGTGATGTCCAGGTATACTGTCAGATCTCAATTCGTCTGTGTTTGTACAAACAGAAGACATTCAGAAAAAGCTCTGCTGGGGGTAAGATACTGACTGCTCAACACCGCCCCACAGAATCACTTTGTTCCAAATTGTTTCAAAGGGACAACAAATAATTGCTTATGCAACTTGAAATCATCGTATTCAGTCTTTAAAAAATATTATATCACATTCGCTGAAGGTACAACAAATGAAAATTTGGTGTTTAACATCAAAAACGGAGCAAGACGTGGTTTTCAAGAGATGCAAATCTTCTGTTTATTTCTGTGGGGGACCTTGCAAATGCAAATGAGAAACATCTAAAACTCAGGGGCTTCATGCCCACTCCTTCTGTAGAGCAGCTTTATCCATAATAAGCCAGATTTCATTGTTCTCCACAGACACAGGGCGATGAGATTAACCGTATGTGAAAAAGATCACTGTGGCAACAAGAGTCCCCGTTTGACAACGCAGGAGGCCGAGGTCTGTCCTAATCAATGCTTCTCCATCCCTGCAAACCTTTAGCTGAAAGAAAGTTTAAACCTGTGAAATTAGTACAAACTGTTAATGATCTGAAAACCAGTCAAGAATAGTTGGTCATTATTTGCTGAAATTTGAAGTATTTGTGAACAAACTGAGCTCCAACACAAAGAAAAACTTCATTAATTGAATCAAATACCAATTAAACACAAATTGTGTTTAATTGGTATTAATTGTTCTGGTGTTTTTGCCAATGCCATTGAGCAATTGTGTCTATGTAATGTTTTTCACCTGGCCAGAAGGAAAATTGTCTTATAGGAACAAAAATAAAGTAACATTTATACGGTTCCACTGTCAGTACCTGCTTATCTTCACAGGACTATTGGTTCATCACAGGTACAACCGTCAAACAACGAGGATTATTCTTTGAACTGTAACTAAGTTGAATTCATAAGATGCTAAAATATGCGATGCTCAACTCAACTTTCAGAGTATTCTCATTCTCAGTAAACAAAACAAAACTTTATATTTATGGTCAACGTTGAAATTCAAGCAGTTATGGGAACCCACTGGTTTATGTTTACTCTTTAGGAAGATTCAAAATTACAAACTGAATTTTCTTTTATTTAATAGAAAGAAACTAGTTGAAGAACTAGTGAACATTTAATGGGTGATTAATGCTGGAAAAAGACTTAAATGGCTCTGACAGCAATTCACATTTTGCATTACATCAGAAAAAATCTTCAGAGAATGTTAGCTTTTTCTGACTGTGTATATTTTTTATTTGTTTTTACTGAATGTCTCACTGAATGGAGAATCGGATTGTCAGCTGCAGTCGTGTCCGGGAATAGAAACAGAAGATGATTGAAAACTGTATGAATGTTTATTTTTTCATGTAAAAAAAAACCTAAACTTTTTTAGACAAACAAAATGTTTCATGGAAACATTTTTCTGTGCGTTCATTTTTTTTTACAGCACAACTTTCAGAAAAAGTGGAAATTTGGGAGAAATTACAAATAAATTTTTATGTACTCTGAAGATTATATCAGCAGTGCTTGACACAATCACAACAGAAACAACAACAAACAAACCCCTTCTTACCACAGACAGACACTGGATATATTTAGCTGTTTTCTGTTACTTTCACATTTGCTTAATATTTTTGCATGTAAAATCTACAAACATATCGCGGACACTAGGACCCAGCAGCGGCAGCATCTCTGGTCCTGCTCCTCAGCCTCCTCCTGCTCCATCTCTGCGGTCACTGTGTGTGAGCGGAGGGGGAACGCAGAGAGAGGGAGCTGGTGTCTTCTCTGCCAGCATTTGCATCAGCTGCGTTTCAGAAGAATCCCTGCTGCCACAGCCGTGCAGTCATCCGGGGAGCAGGATGCTCAGGGCAGATGAAGGGATGGGAATAGAGGCTGCTTTACTCCATGGGAAGTGCCTCAGCAGTGTTCACAAGGTACAGTGATTGATTTCCAGTATGAAGCTCAGCAGTGGGAGTAAAATCATTTCCATCCTCAAAGACAGAAGCAGCAGCAGCAGCAGCAGCGGCATCAGGGAAATATTCTGGTTCAGGTACACAGTGCTCTCTTTCCTGCTCTGTTCCCATCACTGTCTCTGATTCTCCACATATTCTCCTGCATGCTTCCTCTCTTCCCATCTAATCTGCAACAGATGCATCTTCACCAACCGTAATGTGACGTTTAAAGATGTTTAAATCGTGTTGGCCTCCTTTTCCTATGTTATTTTCCAAACAACAACGATTAACATTCAAATGAGTAAGCGGGTGAGACCGGACCACATCAGGTACCAGGGCTCAGCTGAACTGGGAGTAGCTCTGTGCAGACGATGCTCTGGGAGGACAGTGAATCAGAGCTTATAAGACACATTAAGGCTGGATTTCTCTACCCAGATTTGCTCAACTGGCATCACAGACAGGACACAGAGGATCCCTGCATTCTAGTGAGATGTAAGATGAATGCAAAACAGGAGAGCAGCAGTAAAACGTGTCTGTTTTGACATCTGTCCAAACATTACGTGAAACTGAGACTGAATTTAGTTAATAAGTGGCAGACATCCTATTCTGGTGAGCATGCACCAAGAGAATGATCAGCATATTTAGACCTACATGCTGTAAATCAGAGACCATATTTCATTGTAAGAAGTTGTAAATATGAGGTTTAAGTTATACAAGAACAGGATGTGGTGGAAGGATTGCCTGTTCGGTGGCAGGATTAGTTTTGGTGAATTAGCTTGCATTCATGCATTCAGAGGATGTATGCTTGGAAACCAAGGCCATCACCTTCTGCTGTTCAACCACTCTGGATTAATCAGATTGTTTTTCCATAAAGTTTTCTAAATGCTTTCTTTGTTTTCAAGAGGACTTGCATCAACATGTTTGCACCTGTACTATATTGGGCTCAGAATATTCTTGTCTTTGTTGCTAAAAATGGGCAAAAAGTTTGTCCGCATTCAAGCTTTGGCAAAAGTATTGATGTGTCTTGAAGTTTGTCAGATCACAAACCCAAATTGTCATATAACTCAAAAGAAAATAGTACTTTTTAATCAATATTAAGGAATTACTGACTTAAAAAACTTTTTTATGTTGTTGAAAAGTTGTAAGTTAGTCTTGCCTTATTAGAAAAATACTTGGTTGGATTTTGTGTTTTTACAGTGCTGTAAAAGTGGCAAAAAAATTATTTTATTGATCAGCGATTGAATACATAAATAACACATTCAAACTTTGACTCACTCATTCACCTTCCTTCTTTTTTCATGTTAGCACGGGATGTGACTGAAGACTCTGACAATCCCAGCTTCACCCTCCGGACCTTCAAAACCACATTTGACCCAATTTTCCAACCTGGTACTTTCTGACCGCGCTCCCTGGCTTTGAAGGATGGGTGATGGGCCTGTGACTGACGCCGCCCGCCTGCCCCATCCTACCCTTCAATGGAGCCGACGTGGAACTCCTCCCACACGACTCCACAGCCCGTCTCCAACGTGTCCGCCTTGTCGCTGCCCGAAGGCTGGGCTCTGTCCCAGGCGCTAGCCCTGCTAGCGATGCTGCTCATGGATCTGCTGGCTGTGGTGGGCAACGTGGCTGTCATGGCAGTCATCGCCAAGGCCCCGCAGCTCCACAAGTTTGCCTTCGTCTTCCACCTGTGTGTGGTGGACCTCCTGGCAGCCCTGGTGCTGATGCCGCTCGGCATGCTCTCGAACGGGGCCTTCTTTGGCGAGGCCTTGTGCCGGAGCTACGTCTTTCTTAGCGTGTGCCTAGTCAGTGCTGCCATTCTCTCAATCTCCGTCATCAATGTGGAGCGGTACTACTACATCATACATCCCATGCGTTATGAGGTGAAGATGACTGTTGGTCTGGTGGCTTCAGTGCTGGTGGGGATCTGGGTCAAAGCTCTGACCATGTCTGCTCTGCCGCTGCTCGCTTGGTTCCTGCAAGGCGGAAGAACTCCTCTCCTGGAGAGCGGTGGGGTCGGCGGAGGAGATGGAGGGGCCATCCCACCTCCCCCCACCTCTCAGGGTCACCGGCGCTGCTCCCTTCACTGGACTGGAGGAGGCTCAAACCGCTTAGCCTTCATGGTCCTTTTCACTCTTGTGTACTTCCTCTGCCCGCTGTTGGTTATCCTCGTCGTTTACTGCAACATGTTCAAAGTGGCTCGGGTGGCCGCCATGCACCATGGGCCGCTTCCTACTTGGATGGACACGCCGCGACGGCAGCGGTCAGAGTCGCTCAGCAGCAGGTCCACTATGGTCACCAGCTCTGGCACGGGGACTGGCACCGACAGAGCCACTCCACACCGACCCTTCGGGGGAGGAAAAGCTGCGGCCGTGTTGGCGGCTGTAGGTGGGCAGTTCCTGTGCTGCTGGCTGCCCTACTTCACTTTCCACCTGTACTCAGCTCTGGCTGCCAGTCCACCCGCTGCACTGGCCTCTCTGGAGGAAGTGGTGACCTGGATCGGCTACTTCTGCTTCACCTCCAACCCGTTCTTCTACGGCTGCCTGAACAGACAGATCCGCGAGGAGCTCGGCAAGCATCTTCCTTGCCTGTTTCGCAGAGCTGGGGTCGAAATGGAGGACAGACTGCCGAGCCGTGACGGGTCCATAGAGGAGAACTTTCTTCAGTTTCTTCAAGGCACTGCCTGCAACCTGGACCCTCAAAACTCTCGCAGCACTTCCAGCCCGAAGGGGGGAGAGGCCTGCTGCCCTGTTGCTCAGTGCCAACCGACTGAGATAGCACAACCCATTCCTATTGATTTCCGCATCCCTGGACAGATTGCAGAGGAGACTTCAGAGTTTATTGAGATTGAACAGGCAAAAAACAACCATATATATACAGACAATTAGTTTTCATGTTGCAAGCAAAGACATAAAGAGTTTCAGGAAATTTTCTCTTTTTTTCACCTTTTTTGAAAGATGTGACTTGATTTGACCCATTAGGTTTTCAGCATATTTTTCAGCTCCTAGTGTCAAATTTACGGTGCCTCGCAGAAGTATAAATACTAATTGAGCTTTTTCACATTTTTAACATTACAACTGAAAAGTCTGTGTATCATTTATTCTTCAAAGTTGTTTATGAAGTGGAAAGAAAATGTACATAGATTTACAAGTTTTTACAAATTTAAAAGGATATGTAAATTTACAAATACAAATCTGAAAAGAGTCCGCATGTATTCCCTTACTAACCTCCTTTACACTCAAATAAATTGCCTTAAGATGTCACCTAATTAAACCAAAGCAAGTATTATCCCTGTGTCTAAATTGATCTTTGAATAAATGTAGTTGCTCTTGAGAGACTAGTTAGAGAACAAACAGCATCATACAGACCAAGGAACACAGCAGAAAGGTCAGGGATAAAATTGGGGCGAAGATCAAAGCAGGTCAGAAAACAATATCCTGACAATGTCCCAACCTTTCAGTACCTCTAGTTCAATCTAGTTCTTTCTAGTTCAATCAGTTGTCCAGAAATCGAAATTGAGTAGCAAACCTACCAAGATGGCCGCCCACCTAAACCAATGGCTAGCAGTTTTTACAAAAACATTTTGCTTAGAAAATCAAAAACAACATCTCTCTTTTGATGCAAAACAGCTTGTTTTCATAATACATGCTATAGAAAATTTCTTTAGATTTTTAAACAAATTGCAAAGTGCAAAACAATTGAAATGGAGAGTTTTACCTTTCAGCAGGATAACCACCCTTAATAATCAGAAAGTTTAGGGTAAAACACTGTGGCTTACATCACAGCATGTTCAAGCCTAGTCAAAGTCTAGGCCTAATCTGAATGTGTCTAAAACTGTGAAAAGACTCACGGTTAAAACATGCAACTTACAGTAACTAAAAACTATGTATTATTTTCCTTTCACTTCACAACAATGTTCTACTTTCTGTTGGCCTGACACATATAAGTCCAGTCAAATACAGAACATTTTGTTGTAATTTGATAAATTGTGAAAAAATTTCAAAAGGTATTAATATTTCTGCAAGAGATTGTAAAGGATTGTGTTTCTAACTGTTCCTTAAAAAAGGGGCCATTCCTATACAAGTGATGAATTTGAAGAATTGCTGCACTTTGGCTTTAAACTCAAACACTCAGCTCAGAACCTTGAAAATTCACACTGAAAGAACCCTTTAAAAAATGCAAAGTCATACATTGTAACAGTATTTAGAAATCTAGTTACATGAGGGGAACAAAATGGCGCTTTAGGGAATGTTTTTGTAATTTTAGGGGATCAAATATAAAGTCTATGATACAAATACAACATTTTTTGGTCTAAATAAGTTGGTTTTGGTGAATTTTTTTATGAAATTAGAACAAGACAGTAATAAAATGACTGTCTTGTTTAATCTAAAACGCCAGTCCCCAAATCCAGCCTGGTGGTTTAATTTTTTATGGAAGTGGTGCAGATGATGCAGCTTTCTTTCTTTCAATAAGACCTTCTTTATTTTTCCGAAGTAATCAGGTGAGATTTAAAGTGGCTCCATTTAGATTAAAAAACATCTTCAGGGTTATTGAAACTCTCTGCCATGCAGTTTACGAAGCAGGATGTTTGGATATGGCTTTTTAAACAGTATTATATGAGAGCACTGCATTACATCCAAATAGGGTTCTGTTTCTTTTGTTGTTTAATGTAATAAACTGTGTTTATTTTTTTTTTTGTAAGAACATATATGTTTATGTTGTGTACGCCACTCAGTGAGTGCAGTTTTTTTTATATTGTGAATCTCAGATTTTAACATTCAACTAAAGATAAGTAAGATAAGATTTTTGTTTTCTTAACAAGTGAACAGAACTTGTCGCTCTGTTTTTGCCTGTGGACATTTTTTTGGAAAAACCTTTACATTAACGACCGGGATCAGGGGCTTTCACAGTACCTCAGTGCAGGAAATGAGGATTTTTATGGTTCAGTGTCTCCAGTCAGGTATCATTTCTGCACTCTAAGTTAATGTAGGAACCACAGAACATCTGCTTTTTAAAGGTTTACTAGGAATAAGGGTTATAAAGTTTCTGACCTTGACAATGTATTCAGCTGGTATTTTATATCAAACTGTTAAGGATAAAATATGTCGGCTTGACTGGCAGAAATAATCTTTCTCTCATGGAAACAGGGTTTACATAGAATTTTCTCAAGGGTTGTTTTAGTGATAATGCCAGTCAAAAATCAAACACTTGTTAAGCTTGACACTTTGTTTTCATCATGACTAGATAATATCCCAAACTGTGAATGATGTGTTATAGGGTTCTCTTTTGTTCAGAGATCAATTTTATGCTGTGACAACAAAAAAAAAGAATAACTTCCACTGTTCTGCAACCAACAATTTGAATGTGTTCAGGGGAAAAGGCCGAACCTTGAGTGGAAGAAAGTGTTGTAATAAAGACTTTATATGTTTGTAAAACATTTTGGATCCACTCTCGTAATTTGTAGCCCTTTTTCTGCCTCTGTGTAGCAAAGAATAAGGTTTTCCATTCCTATATATTTCTTTGGTTTTTATTTTTGACACTTTTCATTGATTTAGAATCAACTGGGGATATAGAAGAGGAGTTTTCACAGTCTAATTTTATTTATTTAGGAAAAAAGCTGTTCAAACTAACCTTGCCCCTTAGAGTGAATAACTGGGGCCAACCTTGGTAGCAGCAACTACTGTGGGTCATTTATTTATATAAACTGTTATAATAGTCTTTGTTTTTCAGCCATCCAAGTCAGATAATTGTTCTGCTACATTACCCAAGTACATTTATGAAAAGTCATGAACTGATGAGAAGCGAATATTCTCGTTAAGGATTGAGAAAAGAGAGGCCTGTGACTTTAGATGGAACTGTAAATGTTGTTCTGCGTTTTTTGTCACCTCCTGTATGATTTGTAAAAGGCTCTGTTACACTGATAAAGCAAACCATTAGATTTTAACCAAGAAAATTGGAGTAACAGATTGCATACATTTAATTAAGGAGATTTCAATCAATAATTATGCAAAGAATTTGGGTGTTTAACCAAAAAAAAAAAAAAGACGCAAAGGGCAAAATACAAGAATGTTTTCAATGTTCTGAGCTGAAATTGTGTTGATTTTTCTCAGAATAATTGTTTTACCTAAATAAATGAGTCAGATTGCACGTATTTTATTTCATATTGACTAAGACTTTAGACACATCACATTTGACAATTTACATAACACTAAGTAGAAAAAAAGAGAAAAATGAACAGTAAGAAACTAAACTTGCAAGCTATTTTGACGTTAGCATTATCTATGTTGTTAAGCTAATGCTAACGCTGAAGCTTTAATTTTTTAAATCTTTTTGAAGAAGCTGACGTGGAAACCGTTGTCCTGACAGTACGATGTTCATTGAATAACATCTGGCTCGCACTTAAAAACTTTAGCTAGAGACAAACTTATCTTTAGCAAAAGTTGCTAATCCAGAAGCAGCTATAGGTTAAACATCAGCAAGTGTTTTGGTCTATTTGTTACTATAAACATTGTTAATGATAGAATTTTCTATTGTTAAGGATTCAAACTCTTATGTTTGATTTAAATTTTTGTAATTTAAATAGCGAAGATCCAGAATTCTTCTTGATAGTGTTGAGTCCCATTGACTCACCACTGTTTAATGTTTTTTCCCATGTGAAGACGATGGCTGTCTATTCGGTTCCCTGACGTCCTAAAGCCTTAGAAATGTTATCTCCAAAGATGTTGAATATTGCTTTCCTTTTGTTTTTTTTAAATTTTAATTTATATTTGTATGATCTTTTCTGTGCCTCATGTTATTAGATCGGTTCTGTTTAAGAAGTTTCTTAATTTCAAAGGTCAGGCGGTGGATGCAGCTCATACAATTTGAGTTTACCAAAAAAAAAAAAAAAAAAAAGTTAATTCCAGTTAACTCTTAATTATTAGCATTAATTTTCTTACATTGGGTCTGGCTGGTTTCAGATTGCTTATTTATAATAACTTTAATAGTCATAAAAATGCTGTTTAGAAACAGTCACAGTGTTTCTGTTTGATTTTAAAGTTTTAAACATTTCAGAATGACAAAGCAGCAAAATAGCATCTATCTGTCCTGGGGGCGAGGGGAATGCTATATTTACATTCCCGACTTGGTTGTGCGTCCCTTAATCTCTGGGCTTCACATAGATATCCCAGAGAAGAGGGACCTGGCGGGAGGACTCAGTTCAAACAATTTGACCTTAAGGTAACATTTAAACTGGAAAGGGCAAAGCAGTGCTGTGACCTTCATCAGAAAAAAGTAGATTAAAAAAAACAAAAAACGTGGAGACGCTCGGACTAATCAAATCAATCGTGCCACTGTCTCATTTGGAAGATGCTGGTGCGTGACAGGCCTCACACCTCAGTGATGGACCTCAGTCAAACCGCCCCCAGCTTCAGCAGGCTCTGCCATCCCCATGGCAATTATTACCTAGTGACATTTCTCAGCACTGTGGTGGGTGGGAGGAGGAGCCTTCTCTATCGGGAACCCAGAAAAACTCACTTTGGTATGACTTTTTAAAATACGGAGAGAAAAAACTGGCTTTTACTTTATGATGTTATAGCACTTTGACGAGCACGTCTCTAAAGATAAAAAAAGTGACATTTTTGGGGGAATTCCTTTGAATATTTCTGCTGTGCAGCTCTGGTAAAAATGAAGATCCCGCTGCACTGAACCCCTTTGAAAACCTCCCGGTTTTTCCATCAAATACTGATTTCTGAACTCTTCCTGAGTTAAAACATTAATATTGTTGTTTCTAAATAAATATGAATGTTTTCTTTGCATTATTTTAGGTCTGAAAGCACTGCATCTCTTTTGTTATTTTGACAATTTCTCATTTTCTGTAATAAATACATTTTTGCTCATAACTTCAGAGACATGTTGTCAGTAGTTCATAGAATAAAACAACAATGTTCATTTTACTAAAATGTATTCCCATAAAAAGTAAAATCAGTGAAACTAATCATTTTACATGGTCTCTTATTTTTTCCAGAGCTGTACATAATTTATGCATCTTATTTATGGTAGGATTTTAGGATACCACTCAAACTCTTGTGTATGACATAGAACCTAATATTATCCTTCAGTTCTTCATAGTTTTCATCCAAACTATTAAACTTTCTTGCTTTTTTTTGCTTTTTCACAGGATTTTTCTCTGCTTTTTTGATCAGTCTTGATCAAATGTTTTTTTATACAGCCACTTTTAACTCGCCTTATGAATCATTTAAGTTTACTAAAGACTCAAATCGTCAGCAAGTGTTGGGACTTAAACTGAAAGACAAAAGGCAAAGAACCAATTTTTAATTGGATTCTTTGAATCTTTGTTACCAAAGGAACAATTTGTGGCTATTACTTGTGTTGAGAAATACCAAAGAGAAAACAGTTTGACAAACTGAAAATTGTGTCTCAGCTTCAACAAAGTGATTCCTAAGGAGTTGTTAGCTGAAAACTTGGCCTTCAGCGAATACTCAAATAAATGATATTTGTCTTTGCACAAGATTTTTTATTGTCTCAAGAAGTTTATCAGTCAATCAAGTTTATTTGTGTGGCACATTTCAGCAGCTTTACATTAAAAAAAAAAAAGAAAATTACAAAGTTATGAAATAACTTTCAGATGACTTTTATCAATAAGTCTCACTGTGGTTCCTTGGAGTCACAAATTCTTTCAAAAATGTAAAAAGACTAAAATCGGATTGTCTATTACATTTAATGCAACTAAAACTAAGCTCTTGCTTAGTGTGTTTAAACTCTATTAACTCTAAAAATGATCAGTTTTATAGTCATTTTAAAACTGAACAGAAAATGACTCTGACAAACACAGCCATGCAGCCAAGTCACTGGCTGCTGATCAACACAGTTTAAAGAGGCTGAACAAACATATCAGAGGTAGATTTGAAACAGAACAGCCAAATCTTTGCAGTTCCCAGCAAGCATGAATGCAGAAGAAAAAATCTCTGAAACATAAAAATAAAACACAGTGAGGAAAAAGACCTTGTGCCCAGTGTTAATCATGGTGGGGGACCCGTGATGCTGTGGGCCTGTTTCTCTTCTCAAAACCCTGTGAACCTTTTTTGAGTGGCTTTTTCAGTTTTTAAATTAATTGTAACATTTAAACAATTAAAAACATAATAATTCATCAGACAGAGGGTCGGCCTTCAATCTACGTCCCCAGACTTAAAACCTGTTTTCAAATTTGACCATTCAACTATTACAAACTTCTGCTTTTTTTTCATTTTTTTTTTCATAAAAGTCCAAAGGTTTTAGTAAATCACTCCGTTAGCTGAGATGTTGGACTTCAGCCTTAAAAGTCCTGAGTCAGCCCTTTTCTTTTTGACAGTCCTCCAGGTGAACTTTGACCTCATCAGGAGCAGCAAAATCATCATGATGATGCAAAGTATTAACATTAAGTTTATTTAATGCAAACCTATTGAGTGGTGTTCTTTTACATGGGCCATGTATAACTACCAGGCTTATGGTTGTAATTCATCTGTCCAAAAGGAGGAGCTTGCTTAGGGCATCATTACTGAATAAATTACCATTCTCATTTATGATTTCATTTAGTTAATCTTAGAAAAGCTCATCTTTTATAAATCTAACTCTGTAACGTTTTAGAAGAAATTTAAAATTCAAGAAGCAACAGAGAAACTAGATTTGTCCTTCATCCCTTGACGTCGCGGCACTGTCCATATTAATATTAGAGCTGCAAGTTTCAACATCAGGTTTATAATTAGATTAAAAAATGTGTATTTAAGAAATAACTGTTCTTGTCCAAAATCATAAATTTTTTCAGATGTGTGTTTATTTCAGGCATTCTTATTCATATGCACATTTTATTAAAAATAAAAATAATATGATAAAATTCAAAATATTAATTCCAAAAGTTATTTTCAGGGGGAGGAGTGAAAAACAGATCAGCTGAAAAGTAAATTTAGTTGGATCTACTTTTAATATAGCAAAACATAAAACCACAGGTAGAGAAAAAAAAAAAACTCTGATTAGCTCCTTTTCTGAACAATAAAAAGTTTTTACTTCCTTCAGTGACGTGACTATAAAGTTTCTACATTGGGCTTACAAGGTAATGGAAAAAAATGTGACAAGGTTTTGATGTGAAAATACTGTGACGTGTACAGAGGAGAACATCGCCCTCTACAGACACTATGGCATGTCTGCAGGATCTGCACCTGTAAACTTTTGGCTCTTTTTGGCTGTAATTTTGTGTTTTATTATTTTATAAATGAAAATAAGTTTGAATGAGAATTTTTTTAATCAAATTTTCTTACCACAACACTAAAAATGTGGCTCAATATTTCAGTTTCAAATATTGTTTTCGTCGTTTTTAGCACAATAAATTAGTCCTAGTTTTCCATTATTGTAAAAATGTAAACAAAATACAAACTG